TCGGGCTATAGATGTGGATCTCGGCAGTTCGGAAAATGGTCTGGCCGAGGCTGTAGAGGATACTCATATTTCCATCGTCTGCCAACCTGCTAAAGATTCTTCTCAGCAGCTCAGAATTACAGATGCGCAATTCAAAGACGGGGGTCAAACGGTTCGTGCCCAATGCCTGGGTCATACTCCCCTCGCCCCCCGGTTTTCATGATAACTGACTGGGTAAGACTTCCAGCGCCCTGGTAACACTTTGTTGCTGAAACGGCCTACGGCCTACGAACCTACGTCTACCAGCATATGAAGATCTCAGCATATGCAGACGTATGAAATCCTTACACAATGATCGACACTGGTTGTTTGGCACGAGGTTGCTGTTCCTCGCGTCCCTTCCCGACACCTCGACCACGTTGTTTTGACGGACCGAATTTCCTTTGATTTCCCTTACTGGACAAGGGGAGGCATGCTGCGCAATAACAGCAATACAGATATTGGTCGGTTTGTTGCTCGTAGCATTGTCGATCCCCGGACTCTCGAACAGGTACGTGTTCGCCTACCGAGTGTGACAACCTAAAGACTACAATAACTAATCATGTCCTAATAGAGCCCGTGTGTTCACGAGGACTACTAAGCCTAGGGGAGAAAAGAAAACTTATCCACTTCCCGGGGATCATTCTGCTTTATGTATTTTTGAGAGTTAATCCTTGCTCGGTAATTTCTGTCTCCTTTTCTACTGCGTTCCTTTTAATTCACTACCAGCTTATCCGGTTCTTTCCTCTTGCCTCAGCGGGTTCTGTCTCACCTCTTAATAAGTCCCGTGTCCTAATCATCTCTCTGGAGATTGCCACAAGCGATCCTCAGAGATTGAAAGGTCACGTGAATTTTCGCACAAGAGTCACGTGATAAGGCATGGGATGACCGAGGTCTCACACCGAGAGCATTTGACACGTAATTAATGCGCGGGTATTGTGCCAGAGATCACAAGTGAAGACGTTTCCTATGTTCGAGTCAAGCGTAAATGTCCTTGGCCTTACACGCCGGTCAGAAACAGGGAGATATACTGCGTGGCTGAAGATCATTATGCCAGATTTGCACAACAACTGACCTAAAAGGGACACGCAGACCTGCTACTTGAAGTGCTTGGGTTACCTGGATGCGCATGATCACTATCCCGGCTTGGAAGTGAAGTCTCTGCAGGTAGGTATGCAAAAGACAGACAGTGATGGGAAAGACTTGCTGCCCCATATTGGCAATCATTTATCTTGGGTTGGAGTGGAACGTCTTTCGGGTGATAAGGTTGAATAGCCCTCAGTGCTGTAGAAGTGTAATCTGTACATATAGGACAATGTTAAGCTGCGCAACGTCGCATCTTAGGAAGAAGGAGAGGTATAAGGAGATAAAGTACATTCGACACTTAGACGCGATTGCTCCAGTAGATTGTAGATCTAAGTGTGAGGGCTTTATTTCCTCGATATGGAGGTAGTATTATAGACGTATACCATGACATATCAAGGTCGTTCAAGGATCCAATCGACGATTCGTTGAAATATATATCTCGCATGCTGCACCTTGAGAATAGATCCGACGAACTTGAGATAGATGGCCTTCATTATTGGAGAGGACAATATGTACAGGCAACTTGGACTGCTGTTTTCGCAAGCAGAGGAATGGAGACTAACTATGTGCATTTATTACTGCAAAATATGAGTAGGTATATGGCATTATCCCGGTTATACCCTCGCCAAGCACCATCAGGGACTAGTGGGAGCCCAAATCAGGGTCTGGACCCCGAATTGGCTTTGACCTTGCCCGATGGAGCCTAGCCGCCTTGTGGTTTGCCCGGACGTGCCCTGAAGCAGTTTAGATCAGGTCGCAATGTTGCCTCTTCTGGTAATCTTCAAAGAGTCAGCATCACGAGCAGGATTGGATGGCGGAGAAGGTGGCTCCCATCATCACTCCCATTTGCAGTCTCTCCTTTCTTTCTTTCTTTCTTTCTTTCTCTCTAAATTATTTCGTTGTTGCATCGCTCGTTATCCCGCATCTTCCTATTCAGACACTCGTTCATCCACCATCACAGCGATTAGTCACTCGTTCCAATCATGATGAACCGCACGCTCCTTCTCGGTCTGGCTGCTGCCGGCCTGGTCTCAGCCAAGGCCACCGTCACCTCCATGTTTATCTACGACACCGATCCACAGCCGTTGGCCGCGTCGATCATAGGTAATGCAAGTCGTCCTTATATTCATCAGCTTCGTATGCTCCCCTCCACTAACCGTGATCTAGGATGCGACCGCGACAACCTACAGTATCAACTGCCCACCCGGCACCGATTCCAGTGATTGTGGCATGGGTCCCGGTCTTACCCTGATCGCCGGTCCCAAAACCACCATGATCCTGGACGCCCCGGACGAAGATTTGTATGTTGATGGTTGTCTACACCCTGTACATTGGTCATGACTGACATGGTTTGCTGCACAGCTACTACACCTGCGTTTGCTCTGTCGATGGAACGACGCACGCCGTCTGTACCGAAACAGCCTCGGGATCCGGCGCCAACTTCCCAGGAACCAGCAGCACCACCCTGGATGGTGATCTGGATTTGATGCCTGTGACTATCACGGCGGGCTCTGTCACGAGCGTGGCTGCCTCCGCCGCCCACGCTACAACTGAGGCTCAGACAGCAAGTAGCACGGGTTCCGCTGCTACTGCTACGGGGAAACAGTCGCAGACATCTGCCGCCTCTACTAGTGCTGCCATGGCTGGCTCTGTCACCTCTTCCAAGACTGCGACTGCCTCGAATGCCGATGCTTCTGCTACAGGCACTGGCAAGGCCGCCCTGCTCAAGGGTGACGCAGCGTTCCTCTTCGGAGGATTTGCTGCTGCTTTTGTTGCAGCTGTCCTCTAAACCCAGCCTAGAATCATGCCATACTCGCATTTCATAGCGCTCAAGTCTCATAGAGGGCACTTATGTATAATAACATGGAATCATATCACGCTTTATCGCAAAGTGATCCAAATTGTCTTCTCAGAGGAAAGCCGAGATGGATGCAGATATGGATACAGATATGACGTGAACGTGTACGAAAGGACGACTAGATACTCGTAGGCGTAAGCGTGCCGAACAGTGATCGTCAACTTCAGAATCCCACGACCAGTGGCTCATGCGAAGCTCCCTCATCATCATATCACATCGGACAATAATGTGCCAACAATGTTTCAGGTATTGACCCAGCGCCTTGCGGTTAGTAGGATGGAGAGGATCATGCGGGACTTCCAGGGTTTGCCGTGGCGTGTAGTCTGCGAACTCCATCATGATAAGCACAAATTCCAGCGGAAGCTTCGTCGCATACACGAGGATCCTTCTAGATTTCTGGGGAATGATGGAGGGGTGATATTGTGGGATCACATGATATCTGTGGTCACCAAAACATGACACCATCCACAGGAATGCACCTAATCATTAAAACCCCTCCAAAAGAACATTCTGATAGGCAGTATAACCGACCACAAGCCCATTTACTAGTACCAACTTCTATTCGTAAGGAGCCTGCTGGGAAAGCCTTGCAGAAGCCCCTTTATGCCGTTCTGTATATAGTAAATCTCGCGACGCTGTGAGTGCTCGGCAAGAGCAAACTGGATTTGCTATATCTGAGTAAGCTTTCGATAAATCAACCAACACCAATTGATCGATTATACTACCAAAGGGACCAGCTGTAAAAGCCTTTTCCAGCTGACACCATCAGGTCACTAAGTATCTATATCACCCCCATCGTACTGTTGTATTCATGTATGGAATATCTTAGGCTATGACATACAGGAGGTCAGATAGCCTAAGGAAGCATCTCGTGAAGTTTGTTGGCTACAAGGTCCGGGTTATTTCGCTACACAAAGTGGCCGGCCGGTCCCTTGCTGCGGTCTGAGTCGGTGAGCTTGGCCAATCCCCCATTAAGCGAAATGCAATTTGGATTAACCTCTTGTCATACATATGAGTTTCTTTAAAACACAGCACGATTCAAGGGAAGAAAAAATGCAGATAGCTTAGTAAGTCAAGGTAAATCATGTCAATTTAGGGCCACACAAAAGGAAGTCAGTGTCAGGAACAGGCCGGTTCAGTATCCATACCTAGGAATCATCATGAGCATAGTTGTCGGTCTCTGTATCGGCTGCGGTGGCCGGGACTTGCGAGCCGTCTTTCACCGTGGACACTGATCCATCGCTCAACGACGATGGAGGGGAAGATTCAGATCGGTGTGCCATGCTTGAGGATTGCAGAGCTGACATGAGCTGGAAACCAAAGTCATCCATACCCTCATCGTCGTCATTGTCGTTGTCATCCAACTCCTCAGGCTCTGCGGCTCCGCTGAGTGCCGCAAGCCGCTGGAGAAGCCATTGCATCTCCAGGATCCTGGTATCAGGTAGAGGAAGTAGCACCGGATCTGGTGTCCTCACAACAATGCAGTCCCCAGACTTGATGGTTTGGTGGCTCAATGGATTGTAGAGGCATATTCCTCCCGACTCAGGATTGTAGTCGGCCGGGAGTTCCGGAATCTCGCATAGAATGGTAGGTCCCTCCGACCTCGACGGCTTCAGCCACCAGAACTTAACTCTCAGCTCGGTCTTCTCCTCGTTGACCCCGCATGGTTCCAAGGCAAATAGTGCCTTGGAGTGGAGGCGATGCGCTAGTGGGTTTAGAAGGACCAAGTTCTCCAGCTTCTCTGTACCTCTCACATCAGAGAATACCGCCTTGTGCCACTCATTCACTCTTTCTTCGGACCAGAAGCTCCGAAGAGTAGACCAGAACAATCCAGTTGATGTGGTCTCTTCATCGCGCAACGAAAAGGGATACAAGTGAGCCACGTCGCAGATATCTGCAGGTGCCGCGGTTAGGATACAAGACTCGTCTCGTTCAAGGCACTTTCATATTGTCAGTCTCATACTTGGGGAAATGATGGGTTACCTTACAGTCTTTCTGCATGCACCATCCCTCCTCGCCCTCTTACTGGATACAGGTGAGTCCAGCGGCTCAACCGGTCGCTTTTTCGATGTCCGCACTGGTGTGGATGGGCTCGAGGGAATAGGCTCCGCAGGGGAGCTTCTCAACTCATTGCGTTCGCTTGTGTCCAGATTGGTTGTCATGAGTGTCAGCCCTCGTCGAGTATCTGGAGAGGTAGTAGATCCGATGCCTCTGGTTGGGGCAGACACGGTTGGTGATGTGTGAATGGAGGCTATTGCTTGTGCATTAGACGGCGACGGGATGACGGAGTTTCGCTTAGATGCGGAGTTTGGATCGCGTTGTAACCCTTGACAGACAATGGGATCTCTTAGTATTCCTATACTCAGGACAGTCATGTAGCCTTACACTTCTCAACAATCCTTAATGATTCGATACCCAGCAAGCGTTGTCCGAGACTATCCTCCGAGTTTTGAGCAAATTCTCTGAGCTTCTCGATGTCCGCAAGCCACAAAGCTGCTCTTGCTGTTGAAATTGAAAAAATGAACTTCATCTTTCCTGAGATTTCTTCAATCAGTCGACGTCTTTCGGGCTCCTGGAAGGGAGCATCTGGGCCCTGCATTATGGATTATGAGTTGTGTGTTTGAGAAAGAAGACAATAGAGGTGTAGCAGATGTATGAGAGTTCTTTGATGGGCACTTGTTGTGTGCTATCTTCGTCGGGCAGATGTTGAGTTGAGGAATTTCTAGATTTCTGGGGAGATAATAGAGATGACATTGTGGGATCACATGATGTTTCATGGTCACCGAAGAATGACAGCATCCACTTAGTATGTATATAATCATCATTGCGACTACTTCAAAACACCATTCTGATAGGCAGTATTATAAACCACAAGCCTATGTGCTAGTACTAGCTTATATATGTAAGGAGCCAGCTGTAAAAGCCTTCCAGCTGACGCCATCAGGTAACTCTCTATATCACCGCCGTTGTATTCATGTATGAAGGATCTTGGGCTAAGACATCCAGGGGATCAGATAGCCTTATCAAGCATTTCGCGAAGTTCGTTGGCCACAAGGTCCGGGTTATCCCGCTGCACAAAGTGGCCGGCTCCCGGAGCCTGGAACGGGCCTTTACTGCGTTCCGAGTCGGTGAGCTTAGCCAACCCTTCATTGAAGCGGTGCCAGTAGGGGTTCATATACACTTCCGTCAGCCTTGGTGGTGCGCCGCCCATCTTCTCAAACTCGACCTTGAACGTCTCGAACTCGTGACCGATGACCGTCACCCAGGGACCTCGACCATCGGGACCCTGCAACTTGGGACCATCGCTCTTTGGGAGGAGTTCCGCTAGATTCCTCCGACTGAGGCCCTCGCCACTACCATTGCTGGGGTGGAAGACCCGTTGCATGTATGCCCGGGCATCACGGATGGCTTCCACTGACACACCGTCTGGCAAGCTGGTCTCGTCGAAGCCAGGTGCATCAGGGTCAGGATAAATAGAGATAAAGTCGGAATTGGCGAGCACACTGTCCAAGAAGAGAAGTCCTGCCACTGTTCCAGGATATTCTTGCGCGTAAAGACGCACCAATGCACCGCCAATCGAGTTCGAAACCAGCACAAGGGGAAGACGACTGAGATCGGATACACCCAACTTCTCCGAAGCGATTTGTGTAATAAGTTGACGCAAGTCCCGAACAACGGCCAACGTATCATGACCATGCATGGGATCCTCAGCATTCACGTCGTCAGGGTCCCGGTCCGTGGTTTGGCCCTGACCGTACCGATCATAGGTCAATAGGGCGGGGAGACCATGAGCGGGAGGCTGAGCTTGCAGGCGAGCGATTGCGCCCTCCCAGGATGTCTGTGGTAGCCCCAAACCATTTACAAAAACGACTAGAGCTGGCTTATCCGTGCCTACAGCGGGCTGAAAGCTATATGATAGCTTAGCGGATGGCTTGGTAGCGAGTGATAGGAATTCGTAGGAAGGCATATTGGAGGTAAACACGATGACGAGAGTCAGGTGGGTGGGAGGAGGGTGCAGTTATCAGAAGAAGGAATCGCTCGCAAGTGAGCGCGTGGCAGCCAGTCAATGATATTAGAGTTCAAGAGGCTCTACGAGCAGATGAAAGACGAACACAAAGATTTTATAGTCGGTTGGGGTCAGGAAGACCACCTCGCGAGGGGATGAGAGAGGCTGCGCCCAGCTGTGGAGACTCGCTTGAGTCAGTAGTCTGACAGGCTGGCGAGCCAACCAGTGGGAATACAGTCTATGTTGAACTAGGTCTGTACAGCGGCGATCCAGGCTCGATTCATTTTATGTTCGTTGCTTCAAGCACCCTAAGTGTCGAACTGGTGCAGTCAAAACCCTACATTGGTTGACATGATGTGCTAGAAAACAAGCTTTCACCCTGGTGCTTGTATTCCAACGTGGCTTTCCACCCCAACGAAACCGTCAGTGACACCTTAAGACGGCCTAATAGAAGCATGGCATAAGGCAGGTTGGCAATGAAAGAGATTCTGGCCAGCCACTGGCGAAGAATGGAATTATTCTCCCGTGCAAGCAAACAATGTCAAGGCCTATGCAACCATGGCAATCAGCCTTGTGCATGGCTACTACCTCGGTGGCCCAACAAAGGGACAAACTAGGTACGCCACTCTATGAAATATTGTTACACTGGTCGTATCAGTGTCCGCACTCCGTTGTTCCCAAATCCTCCTAGTGCTTACATTTGCCCCTCCCCCCACACCTCGCCGTGGCTTGTGCTAATCGGGCTAGTCTACTTGACCTACTTGGACAACCCCTCAATTGTCGGATCAACTCGGCTAATTTTTCTGGTGGCACTCGAAACGTGAGTTGATTGGGATGCATGTGCAAAGACTAATGGTATCTCCCCCTTGGATAATGAGCACAACTTCTGCTCTAGGAGTTGAGCTCGGACTTAGTGTAAATTCAGCATCATGGTTATCTGGGCCAGTCCACCACACTGATGCAATATTAGCATGTAAATACACTACACACGCCGAAAGGATACACTCTAATGAATGGCAGCATCCTCGCCAGATGCAGTCAACTCATCCTAATCAATAAGCAGGCCTTGATAAGACATTCTTGTGGATATGGCCATTGATCACTATGGCATGCAGCCGCGAGGTATCCTGCAGAACAGTAATATCTGCTAGAGGATCCCCATCGACTAATATCACGTCGGCATAATACCCCGGCTGCACTTTGCCTAATTCCTCCGGATGGCCCATGATCTCCCCTCCCAGGGCCGTGGCCGCTAGAATACTCTCCATTGGCGTGTAACCAAAATGCTTGACGAAATGATGCAAGTCCCGCGCGTACGTGCCATGCGGCGCCCACGCGAAACCATAATCCCCGCCTGGCAGCACCCGGATACCTCTTCTGTGCATCTCTCTCATGGACTTGCAAGCCGCTTCCACCTCTTCCTTGACGCCCTTCTGCTCGGCCATCTCGACTGTAAAACCGAAGGGGATAGCATCGCCCGCACATGTGGCAAGAGGCAAATTGATGGCCGGTGCCACAAAGACCGAGTCCTTTCGCTGCTCCAGCATATTCAAGCTCTCTTCATCGTTGAAGCTAGCGTGGTAGATTACGTCCACACCTGCCTGGAGGCACAACTTGACAGATTCCTTGCTACGGGCATGAGCGCAGACGCGTTTTCCTCGGTTGTGAGCTTCTTCCACGGCAGCAACTGTCTCCTCCAGGGTGAAGTACGTCTCGTCGCTCGGCATGCTGTCCGTGATGTTATCACCGGTTATGCTGAGCTTGATGTTATCCGCTCCCAGCTCGATGAATGAACGCACTGTCTTCCGCATCTCGTGAGGGCCGTCTGCATACTTTGATATGTCAGGGATGATGGCGCCCCCGGTAGTGGTAATTTCTGGCGTATTAGCCAGGGTTCGCGGTCCCGGAATGAGGCCGGCCTTGATAGAGGCCTTGATGGCGATGTCGAGTCGGGCGCGCGCAGAGGCCGCGCCAAAGCACATGGTGTAGCCGCAGTCAAGATAGGTTCTAGCCGAGTGGGCGGTAGCAAGTACATGCTCTTCCAGGGGCATGGTGGTCAGCCCGTCTAGTGTCTTTGCATTGTTGAAGCTGAGATGAGTATGAGCATCGACCAGGCCTGACATCAGGGTCTTGCTGCCGCCTCCATCGATGACCAAGGCCCCTGTTGCGGCTGTCTCATCAACCTGTCCTACAGCCACGATGCGTTCTCCTTGAAGTAGGACATCTCCTGGATAAGGGAAGCTGCCTGTCGAATCTAAGATGCGAACATTTTTAAACAGGACTTTCTCAGGGTCACCTGGCTGGTGGTTGTTGATGGTAATGTCGGCAGGCGTGGGCCGGTAAATCGCCCCAGTCGATTGTGAGATCGAACCCATGTTAACCGGCGAACATATATGATGATTTACCTGGCCGGAGAGGGCAGATACTCTCAAGCCCCGACACTTCTTATACTTAGACCAACCTGGCCTGCTGACCAAGCCGGCGCTTGCAAGAGGGGTTTCTGCGGGGCTGTATGCAGCTGATACTGGCTGAGGGATCTGCGCGATGACATTTCTGCAGTCGTAAATTGGCCCTACATGTCAATCCATGTCCCCCTGCAATCAGTGTACAAGGTTGCAGGCAAGATATTTTGCAGAGGCCTCCTCAGCTGCCTCGTCATCGATTCAGTAACAACCCCATTGGTGATGGATCCTCACATCCAGGTCAGCCATTCGTTGGGTTCTCCGGGAACAGCCGCCTATGCCGGCAAGGCATCGGATCCATTTCTTCATTCAGAGGAGGTGAAATATCCACTCAGACTCGTTGTGGCCTTTCGGTTGGCACCACGCTGGCCGCGCCGTCGCGGCCGATCTACTTTAGCCTCGTGGGGTAACCTGCTCCGAGCGTTGCACAACCTTTGTCTAATGGCAGCCTCTTTGAGGCCCCACTGCGGTTAGTGTCAGCTCCAGGAGACCATGATCATCCCCTCTTCTCCAGCGTACACGGGAGAGCTATCCCAGCCCGTTTCCCGCGCCACCAAAGGGAGCCAGCAGATAAGGCGCCCTTAACTGGACAGGTGGGGGACTTCTTCGACAGCAGCTCCAGTGACAGGGTAGGACTCGCGCCTCTCAGCCGTTTCAAGAAACCTTCCCCTCCATCGATGCTTCGGATCATTGAGATGGTGGAGAGGAAGGTCGAACTCTATCGCCATCGTCGTCCCGCTCCATTGCCCCGCGCACGCACGGAGATCATACCATCTCACAAGTCCAGTACTGCAAAGCAAATTCTCATAGTCTGCCATTGTTCCTTCCCATATTTCTGTCTCGAAGTATTCCCTCTTCTCTGAATTTCATAGAGCAAAGCAAAGCCTTCCCTGCTGGCGGACCGTCCCGCTAATTGACGGGAAAAGCCAGATCGAAGCCCTCGTAGCCCAATGTCTGTCTCCAGTCTACAATACGCTATCATTTCAAGAGCCAGCTGCCTCTTTTGACATTTGATGTAGAAGAGCACACCGGAGCTCTTGCCCCCGATCGCGCAAGGCTGGGTGACAACATCCTCGACATTTGCAACGCTATGGGTCCGTCTGAGAGAGGCTGTAGTCGTGGCGAGGAAAAGCCCTTTCGATTGTCCCGCTCATCATCCAGTCCTAAAACTTAAACGTCTGGTACTAACCTGAATACTGCAGTTAGACAGGGCACCACTGCCAAATCCTTTGATGTTGTCTCCAGATTTCGCACATTCAGTTGACAAATCGCGGTCGGCGGGCGCGTCAATGTGCTGGTGGTGATGGACAGACCATGTAGCATCCTCACCTTTCGGAGGGATTCTACATTATAGTTTCCAAAAGGAAGGCTTATCAAGATATGTAGAGTGAAGATTGGGTCACTCAATGAAGGAAAAATGGCACCCGTCGCATTCAAGCCTTGCTATATTTCCGGGTAGGGAGTAAACATGTGTCATTTGTTATCGAGGAGAGATTCTCTGTCTGACAGCCACATTCCAAGAGGAGGAATTTGAAGATATGCGCTCGGAAATGACATGATAAATGCTGATAGGGGAGATATCCTTGGCCAACGCAACGATGGGGATACGGGCGGCTTTTCCGAAGGCTTTAGGGAAGGAAAGAAGATGTCTCGGGAAGGCGAACCGTGTGAGCCGGCTGCATCGCCCGGAGGTCCTTGCGATCGCTCAATCCAAATGTCCTCATCGCTCCCCAGTCAGTGGAAATCTCGGTCGCAGTCGGACCGACTCGACATATCTCCACCGGTAGGACTCGCTCGTGTCCGCTGTCCCAGTCGAGTAATCTTTTCCCGTGGGAAAACAAGGGATGACTGATGCCAATACGGTCAGGGCCGGGAACCTCGCCGATGCGCTCCCTCACTCCCCCCCGCATGAGGGGATGGAGGGAAAGTGATTGCGACAGAATGAGGGGAACATCCCTGCTCGTCCTGGCCTATATAGAACAGTAGAAATGGCAGAGAAGGTAGTCATTGGCATCCCGATCCTCTACCTGTTAATTCATCCTTCTTCCATACGGTCGCATATCCTTCAGAACCCATCCGTCCAACATGTCTCCCTCACTCCACCCTCTCCTCGACAACGGCATCACCAAGGGAGACCCCAACTTCCCCGGGGGTAACCTCTATTGCAAATGCTCCTCCGACAAGGTCGTTGTTAAGCTGGCCAGCAACGTCGCTCACAACCACGCCTGCGGCTGCTCCAAGTGCTGGAAGCCCGCCGGATCGCTGTTCTCCATCGTCGGAGTTGTTCCCCGCGACGCCGTCTCCGTTACCGAACACGCAGAGAAGCTGTCCATCGTTGACGCGTCCGCCGCCATTCAGAGATATGCCTGCAAGGGCTGCGGGGTGCACATGTTCGGTCGCATCGAGAAGGACCACCCCTTCAAGGGTCTGGACTTTGTGCACGCCGAACTGTCCGACCAGAAGGGCTGGCAAGAGCCTCAGTTCGCTGGATTCGTCTCCTCCATCATTGAGCAGGGCTTCCATCCCCAGGGCATGGAGGAGGTGCGCTCCAAGTTCCACTCCCTCGGTCTTGAGACATATGATGCCCTGTCACCGGCACTGATGGATCTGATTGCCACGTTCACGGCTCAACGAGCGGGAGTGTTGTCTGCAAATCTCTAATTCATCGATAACATGTCTATCGACGCAGAGAAGGGGGGATGTTGTGGAGGGGTGAAAAGGGGAAAAGGGAAAAAATGTAGCAGTGCTACGCTAAATGTACATACTCAATGAGATCTATGAACTTCAGCTTTTTTCGAAAAAGAGACTCCAATCGTCCTGCTTGCTTCCACAGCAATCGCTCTCTATTGGGGTTAAGGAGTAGCTAAAGAGGCGTGTAGGGAGGAAGGAAGACGTGGAAGAAGGGTTGGGTCCTTTTATTATTACTGTTGGATTCACCCAAGGTCCCCAGCACTGTCCGAGTACCTTCCCCTTCCCCCGCCGCCGCAGATCGTTGATAGCTAGTATTTTTCAGGTTTCTCTGGACCATATGTAGGTAGTACGGGATATCCTGGGCGTCTCCTAGCCGAGTGTGTCGATAGCCTGAATCATGTGGTAATATTATCCGGCATAGTGCAACTCACCAATGTACCCGCAGAAAAATGTACCATTGTGATCATGGTGATGAATGAATGCTACGGTCGCAAAATGGCATGCGCCTAATACGTCGTCACGCATTACTCTTCAAACAACGTAAGATCAGAGTATAACAGGAAATCGTGGTAATAATGAGGTCTAGGGCACCCATTTTATTTGCTCATAGAAAAATGAATACACACGCCAGCGAACACTGAGTTGGTCAACAACTCAATGTCAAGAAAGTCCGCTCACCCAAGAGGGAATAATGAGTACACGATAGATGTTTACACCAAAGGAAACAAACTCAATTCACATGCGAGCATCAGATTCCTTGCTACCAGATGACGAGTCCACCCGACGGAGAAATTCCCCAGCCTTAGTGGCGCAATGACGGGCTTCATCCTTGAACCCCATAATCCACCCAATCATCAACACATCATGCGGCACCTTCTCCTCCACTACCAAATCAATGGATGTCTCATTTCCGGGCAGCTTTTGAAACTCTTGTGCCAGCTTCTTGTGATCTTGACAAAGAACCTCGCGACCGCCGGTAATGACCAACACCGGCGAGGGAACAACAAACGGATGCCAAATGGGAGCTACGTACGGCTCAATTTCTGGAGTAATTTCCAAATCGCCAAGGAACTGTCTCGCTCCCCAGGCTGGGAAAGAGCCTGGTATATATTCGGTTTTGTAGTTGGTGCTGTGCGTCCAGGCACTAGGGTCAACTGCAGCGGGTACGTCGCACCAAGGAGACCAGGCCCAGCTGCACTTTGGTGGTGGTAACAGATCTGGCCGGTTAAATTCGACTATATACCGGAGAAGCGCCAGGACGAGGTGACCCCCGGAGCTGTCGCCGCTGAGTACGATTTGAGAGGGCGAGATTTGGAGGGTGTGAATGAGATACACGTATGCTGCGAGTGCGTCCTGCAGTTGAGCCGGAAACCGTCCGTTGTCGTTGCAGGCGAGTCGATACTGGGGGCAGAGCATGTAGCTGGCGGGAGTCTGTTCGAGGAGGTTCTGGGCCATAAAGTTACAGGAGGAGGAGCGACCGTCACCCAGAATGTAAGAACCACCGTGGAGGTGCAAGATAACATATTCGCCATCTGGAAGAGAGGTGCCGCGAGTAAAGGGCTCAGGATACCAGGTGGCACCGATGGTCTCGGGTTTGACGGCTTCATCCACCATCACTCCGGTGTAACACTCCGGGGCGGCAGGGTTGATCAACACGAATCGATCCGACTCGTGGTGTGGCTTGAGAGATAGCGGCCATTTCATGTGTAGGGCAGTAAAGGTACGGAGGAAAGCTTTGAGCATCGAACCCGATAATCCTTGGTGATATGACCAGCTGGGGTCATGGCGAAATCTGGGGTGGTCATCAGCGGGCATTTCGAAAGGCGGAGAGGGAAAGGAGGAAGAGAAAACAGACCGCACGGGAGCCATTGTTGAGGGTAATGAAAAGGTAAATTTAAGTAGATAACATTCTAGAACACGGTAGGATCACGACGCTGGGTAAATCTCCCCGGCTAAGCATCGTGGCCCTGGGTGCCAAGCTTTATGGCCAAGCCGGGGGGATCCACTGCACTTTGAGGTCACCATGACGTGTATGCCCATTGAAGCCTCAGGCAGCATACATTGTTGTGCAGATGAGGTGAAAAAGAAACGTACGAAACTAGTTGGGCTTGCAATTATAGCTTCTATTATGACATCATTACTAAGAGTATAGGATGAGTAATAACACCGGCCTTTTGCAGCCTGGTCTGCAGAGCCGAAACAGGCACCCCGGGTGGACCATGGAAATGGTGCCAACAATCCGGGCAGAGATCAACCGACGGACAGGGGAACATTGTGGGTGGGGCGAGTCAATTACCTCCTGTTTCAGACCATCTCAGGAAGTTGTGCAGAATCTACTCCAATAGCATTGTCTAAGAGCTTCACGCAGTGGGCTTCACTGCCACACACACGAGGGAACCAAATACAGGCTAATTTGGTGAATGAATGGTTTATTTTGAAGGTATGCGGGGTCGCTGTGGCAGGCTCTTCCTATATGGATGACGCAGGACTCAGGCATTCAGTGTTCTGCTGGCCATTCGATAATTATACAAGTTCGAACAGAACGGCATTGTGGAGATGACAAATACAAATGGAATTTGTGCAACGGAGACAGACTGCTTGACATATAGTATCTGATCCAAAGTTCACCCTACACCGCCACGTGTCTCTCAACGTGCGTCACTTGTGCAACTCCGTCTTCCAAAGACTTCCCATCCCCGCCCACCGCCGCCGCGGCTGCCGCTCCGACATCGAGATGAGAATGATTCAAATAGATCTGTTCGCTGCGTGCGACCACTTCGCGGACATTGCTGGATGACGAAAATAGGAAATCGACAGACTCAAGCGTGAGGGACGACGTTTCCGGAAAGAACAAATACACAATCACACAGCAAACAAAGTTGAGAATAGCCCAAATAATATACGTCCGCCAGCCGATGTTGTCGATCGTGACGGGCGCAATCTCCACTGTCCAAAACTGATTGGCCCACTGGAAGAAGACGGACAGCGCCAGCGCTTTGCTCCGCACATGCAGTGGTAGGATCTCGGCAGGGTATGTCCACATGTTGGACATCCACCCCCAAGTGAAGAAGGAGAGGTAAAGGAAGAAGAAGACGACGGTGATGATGACCGACACTTGGCTGTCTTTCCACAGAGTAATGCAAACCGCAATCATGCAGCACCCCATCCCGAGGTTTCCTAGGCAGAACAGTCGACGGCGGCCCAGCTTGTTGATGTAGTACCACGTCACGAAGGATGATAGGAGGAACCAGATCTGCGAGCAGCCCGACACAAGGTTCGCGAGATTGGTACCAAGTCCGACCGAATTCGTTAAGATAAAAGGGAAGTAATACTCCACAAAATTGATCCCGGTGTAGGATTGCATCGAGTTGGCCGCGCAGGCGATAATAACACGCGTACGCACCTTGCTAGGACCTTGGCGGAACAAGCTCCCCCATGATCCGCCGTCTGATTCCAAGGCAATTGCCGAAGCAATATCCTGCAGTTCAGCTTGGACTAACTCGTGGTCCACGGGGAGATCACGGAATGCAGATAGAGCAGCGGCGGCAGCCTCAGTATGGCCGTGGGAAGCAAGCCATCGAGGGGACTCGGGGAGCACCAAGGTGAAGCCAAAGGCGACGATGGGGTAGATGGCCTGCAAGGCGAAGGGCACGCGCCAACTGATCTCATTGTCAAGGAAGCCAAGTCCATAGTCGACCCAGTAGGCAATGTTCGTGCCGATAATAAGAAAGGTCAGCTGCACGGCCACCATGACAGCACGCATCTGGGCCGTAGCGGTCTCAGCTAGCCAGACTGGGGAAGCGCTAGTGAAGAGCCCGAGACCAACCCCAAGGATGATACGCGACACTAAGAGTTGGGCGAGGGAGAAGGAAGAGGCGTTCACGACGTCTCCCACAATATGCACAACGCAAGCTAGCAAGATCGTCCGTCTCCTCCCAATTTGCTCACTGATGAGCACGGCAGCCAATGCCCCTAGCATGCAGCCAATGTCATAGGACGATACCGCAAGCCCCTGCACAGCTGCGTCTGGATTTCCAATCATGTTGAGAAAGTTGGGCTCTGAGATGACCTGGCCCATCAAGCCATTGTCGTAGCCGAACAGGCAGAAGCCGGTCGAGCTCACGACGGTGACCAGATAGACCAGGGGCTTTCCTCGTAGGGACAACATTCTTGCTACCATGAAATAAATTCTACTGCCATGCACTGGTCCCGTATTTATACTGCATCGATGGCAGGGAACGGAACATGCGTTTCCCCGCAAAGTGTTTCGTCATGGGCAAGGAGTAGACCTACAGCCATCGGATGGTCTACCCAGTCTTACCGCGTCGATCAAAGCTTAATAGCCAATAGCTGAGGTGTACCCATCCGGCACTCTAATGGGGACTTGGTGCAGTAGCAACTGGAGAACTCGGCCCAAGTCCGACTCTCCGCATTAACCCCAGATTCCACCCCAGCCTGGTGCCCCCACGCCCCCGGACGTAGCACATCCCACGTCCAGCTGTCCAGGCGGATTTAGGCGCCATCCTTGCATACGTATGGTAAGCAACCATTTCTGTGAAAACCCATATTGTTTCACAGGTTTATCGAAACAAGGGGACAGGATACTTGGCGGGGCAGTAATGGGTTGGTCACAGTTACGGCTGCTCAACAAGACACCGGCACTTATTTGGCAGTAAAATCGAGGTACTGACAGAAGCGAAACCTATATGATACCAATTAATGAGACATTTTTAGGATCATATCAAGGGTGGGACTCGTACTTTCCCCGATCGACAGTCCCGAGGTTCTACCGTTTGCCTTGAACGAGCAGCTGTGCCCCCGTAGCCTTGGCAATTTACTGTCAGATTGATACAGTCCCGATGATCCTCTTTATCTGGCCAGCTTTGGGGGTTGAGGTGTGCCATTTACCCCCGGATCTTTCGGGCTGTTATATCCGCACTAGGAACACAAGCATACAGGAATCGCACCATGGAAGTCGCGTATTCTAGCTATTGTGAATGCAGTTGCATGGAGGACGTGGACCTTGTAGAACATATGGAGAAATTTTATGCCAGCCTCCTGCGGTATTGTTCTCCCCATTATCGCATCCGTCCCTACGTCCCAGAAGCGTGATGTATCCATCCGGATTCCGAGGTCAATAAAGATATACACATAAAAGGTGCAGAGCACTAGACTTTTTGCTAGTAGGTAAGCAAAAGATGTTGATAAGCTTGGTCATGACCATCCAGCCCATGACAGTCCCAACAAATAGCCCCGGCGTCCAGAACACTCAGAACACACCGACTTATTGAGCCAGCCCCAAAGATAAGCCTAGTACTCCAGATCGTATGCCAAAGTATCCTCACATAATTGCTCGCGCATTTCATGCAATCTGATTGACCGTTAGCTACTAGCAACTTCCCGACCGAGGTCTCCACAGCTCTAGGTAGACTTACTCAAGGTGAGCTGGGTGGGTTGCATAGACCTGCAAATCGGACGGCTTCTCCAGGATAGCCACCAAGCCCATATCGTAGCCCTTTGCGCGAGATGCGGTCATCGGCAACGGGGGATTGGCATGGAACTCCAGCAGTCCTGGAAAGATGTCATAAATGAGTTTGTTATTCGTCATCACATTCGCCCTGGTAAGTACTGACCTGGAATCTTGCCAACCATGCCTTTACCCAAGCGGGCCCAAGCCTCGAGCTCAGCAGGTGCAACACCGGGCTTCAAGCGGAAGAGGACTAGGCGACATGTTATTGTTGTGTACAATGATACCTGATGAATGACAAGGTTGAGACGCACCGACGTGGAAGACAGGCATGACCACGCTCGATTGACGATTTTATTGGCGATGGTGATGTGGCGATGTATGCAATTGAATGCAAGAAGAAAAATAGCTGGAGGCACAAATGAGGGGAAATCGAGGAGGATGGGGCGGGGTAATGTTTAGCCTAAGGAACCCGCCGGCATCTTACAAATCACATGACAGCTTAGTTGAAGGCTGACTACAGATGGTTGTGCCAGTGCTGAGAAAGGCGAATTGATATGGAGATCCAGAGCGATCGTCCAGGAAGGTAAGCGTCATATGCTCAAGCATGGTATGACATGAGGACGTACGGATAATGCAGACGTTATAGCAGTGACCTTTAGGATCACAGTCGTCATTACTATCGGCTGACTCGCCAGCGTAAGTAGGGTTAGAGGCATGCTTTGGCAGACTTGAAGGGAGAGGTACGGCCAGCTGCGGTTGAAGGTTGTATTGCGACGCTACCATAGATACACAAATTGGTTAGGGTGCCGGAATTAGTCGCCAACGAGGGTGAGTTATTACCTACTAGTCCAGAGACATGATGAAATAAAATGAAATAGAAATAAAATAGAAAGCTGAACCTAACACATGAGCTTTCTTCGCACCAACTCAGTGCTGTTGATGAATCTGGTCCTGTCCCTGGGTTTGGCTCCTAGATAAGCTACGTCTCAACTAGTTCACCTTCCACCAAGCCATATGCCCATACTATCTCGGATAGGCAAAGGCGATACAACACCGGACCCACTAAGAATGGAGAGAATTAGTGTTGGGCAAGATACATTTCAGGTTGCTGGTAAATCCCCGAGATTACTGCGACAGCATCTGGCTCAAGTTCAAGAGAGAGAAAGAAAAGTAGACGTGTGGGATGTTAAGGGTATTTCCGCACATTGACGGGAATGTCATCAAAACCATTAGCCATTAGCGAAGGTTGGGGATGTATCATACCAGGCGTGTGGAGTGAACGTTACCAGTTGTGTCCTTCCATCATGGTGGTCCCGTTTCAGGTCGCGCATTCCCTCACAAGTATGTAGATTGCTGTAGGGATAATATTAAAATAAGAGAGTTGGCTGAGTGGTTTAAAGCGGCTAGAAAGCAAATGCATGGTTGAAGGGACTGTCATTTCATTTCTCTTCCAACAATACTCCTTCGAGTCGGCGCTGGAAGGTGTCGTATGGCTGAAAGGGAATCCTACTGCGTCGGACTGGTGGCCATTTGACGCAGTTTGCAGTATTTGGGCTGTCAAGGGCTCTGAGGATTTCCTTGGGAATCTGCACTTCGTAAAGATATATGAATTGGGTGTCATAAGCATTTGTTATCAAAAGACGTGACTTGGTGACATGAGAATTAGCCTTCGAGTCGGCAAGGCAGGCCTAAGTAGATTTCACGACTTACAGCGTAGGTATTCTGGTGCTTAGGGTGGCGCAGTCGGCGCTGCAGCTGCCCGAGAGACAAGAGCACACAGACCAGATAAGGATCACTCTTCCAATCTCTCGTAAGGAGCCGATTTTCGCCAGCTGACCTATGGACCACTGGCGTGTGTCCCAGGCGCCGAGCTCGCCGTTCCTGAGCACATTCTCGGCGGTATCCTGCCAGATCGTTGTAATCCAAGTATCCAACTAAGAGGTCGGCAGCACTATGCTCTGACTGGCTATCTTGAAGACGGCGCCAGAAAGTGGCACATTCGAGCCGATGGACAACTCGACCGGCGAAATAGAAGTTGATTCTTCCACTGCTCAGGGAACGGGTAAGTCGAATCCACTGCGTATGAGGGTTCAGTAGTAAATAAACTGCTTACGTTTTCCGTGTTTTTAACGGGCTACCTTCATAGTCAAGGATGTCGATCAATGTGAACAGCTTGATAAGAACAGCACCACATCTTGCCAGACATGCAGCATCACTACTTGAGTCATCCTTCGATTTCGGTTCGACAGAGGATAATGTAGATGTGTGGGTATCGGCAGCAGAACCGGGCAAGGAGCGGATCTCTTCAAACTGGCATCCCAGTATATCAAGGTGGCGCGATGTCCATAGCGGGGGTGGAACAAGAAGACCCTTCTGCTGCAGAAGAGAATAAAGGGCAATCGAATGGTGGCTAGTCTGCATGGTCGAAAGATAAAGGCGTTGGAAGGTTGTTGCGCACTGATGCTTCTGGGTGAACCAGCTGTGCAGTTATACCACACAACACGGAGCAATTAGTTCATCCGGACTGACCGCCTTGGGCCAATGCGGGCACGATCTTCTCGAAGGTTATCACACCTGCTCACAGATGTACACTGGCTTTCTCCGCCAATTCTCTTTACTCATATATAGATATCATGCTTTCTTGGCCCTGCAGTGGCCGGCTTAGCTGGGAGACTCTCGTCTCCCAAGTCTGGAAGCATTGAGCCGAGCCCAGTAGCAGGTGTTGTAATTAATAGCTAGAATCATTGTACCTCGGTAATAGTAATAACGACCGTTATGGTGAAGTGTGTGGATCCCCCCAATCGCTTCTTTATATAATATATATGATAGTAAGCACCTTTACAGATGGCGCTCATATATGGGTGATGGCTTAGGGTCTGGTATGAGTGACTCAAATCAAAGCTGGATCTAGATTCATGTTCAGAATAATGCTGATAGTATATCGGGAGCTCAATTCCTATGAGGATTCCGCCCAAGTAGATGCAACATCTCTTTGATTCATCGCCTGCAAGGCACCTTGCTTAGCAAGGTTAGGTCATTATCTTTGTTGTTGATGTGCAGGAGATATGGTCGACAAAAAGTAATAACTACTGTGCGACAGTGCCTGGCAAATCAGATGCCGTGGGCAGTCACTGGGGACAGTCACTGGGGGCAGTCACTGGGGGCAGGCAATCCACCTTCCCTGAGTCCCGACAGCATGGACCCTCCCAAGTTCATGTTCGTCTCTCCCCTTTCATATGGATGGTGTTGGCACGAATGAGTTTTATTTTTATAGTACCAGTCCATGAGAATAAACTATCCATCCTACGCATCCTGCTGTGAGCAAGAATTTGACCACCCTGTTCCAGTCCTTCATTGCAGATTCCAGCCCAATCATCGTCATCAAGCCTACTTGTTTCCCCACGGTCCTCGACATGGCGAACGTCCCTTACATCGACAGCGTTACCTCCCAATCCCTTTTTCGAACACGGTTCGAAATTGAAGAGGCTAAGACATTCTTAGAGCTACCTAGGGTCCCTGCCAAATATTGGGGCCGAGATGAGCTATTCGCATGTCGAGTCATTTGCCAAAAGCGACATCCAAGCATCCTCCCACTTCTTAAGGGTCATACTGACCCGTCTGACGCTCTAACCCCAGGGGAAATAGTCAAATTCATCGAAGGGCCCCGATCTACTTATATCTCCCAAAGCGAGCGCGGCCTTGTACGAGACCCAGTGTATGGCATATCTCTAGGTCAAACTTGGGCAGCCCTAGCCGCTTTCCTGGGCCCCAACAAAAACCAGACATCGGGCAAGCGAGGCTATCTAGAAGAGGAAGAGGATGATGAGGTTGATAGAATGACACTGAGACCACGGCATAAGAAATTACGAAAGGAGGACAGTGACGAGCCGGGAACTATTAGTTTCGATTCTAACAGCAACCAAAGTGAGAGTTCTCACGGTGATTCGTGGCTTGGTTACATTGAACTCAACGATCAGGGTCCGCCTGAGGACGGCACTTTACAGCTCTTGTCGTCCGTCTTACGCCATATTTTGTACTACGGGATCCCACAAGACGGGGAGACATCTAAATGTGTTGTCGAATATCGTTATATGAGGGCAAGTCTCTCCGCATTTACAGAAAAGGGACGGCGGAAGATTTCAGCAGTCGATGACGGTGGTCTTTGCCTACGGCGGAGGGTGAAGGATGCGTTTGTGGTTACCAAAGACCGAGTGGCAATAATAGAAGCTAAGAGGGATTTTCAAAGCATTCAAGATGGTAGACCAGTCATATCTGAGAAACGTTTAGCCCAGATGACCCGCGAGGCACTGGTGGCCAGAATGTCAGATCCGTTTAACGAGTTGACGCATGACAGGTACGGTCGCCCCAAACATATGATCCTTCGGTAGGCGAGCATTGCCCTATAAGGAATGCTAACAATTATTACAGTGTGATACCCATACATGCAGTACAGCGGTATATGTGTTTTCTCCAGTTTATCTTTACTCCGGGATATGTAGAGGACTTTGATTCTGAAGCTCCTTCATGCTTTATACACGTGACGCCGACGCAATGGTTCGATATGAACTCGAAATCTCACAGAAAACTGATAGTTCATAACGTGTGCGGGATTATGCGCTGGGCCCGTAAAGGCTTAGATTGAGGAACGAATGTATCTCTACATGAGTAGCAGTTGGACTCAAAACAAAGTCCTCAATTAAGCTTTTTCCGCGGCTTTGGATCGAATATTGTTCGGACAATCAAGGTGGACCTCCCCGATGATAGTTACCTGAGATTGAAAAAGGGTCTCATTGTTCTTTGCAGGCTTCATAGTAGGATTCATCGTGGTAAATCATTTTAAGAATGTTTGGTACTACCAAAGGCGCAGAGCGCGACTCTGTTTGTCAGTCGTTGATATCATTGAATGTAGAAGCCTGTCTCCAGTACTTGATACGATAAGCGTGTTAACAATGTTTAACTAAAATACTTCCAGTTGTACTCTGATCAGTCGAAACATTACAATCAGGAGGAGATCTACGCGCCATGTTCGTGAATGGAATTCATCTACCAGGCAAATCGTCTTCTGAACAATTATGAGTACCTCAATCACATCATCGCATATTACCCCGTTCTTAATGTCTGGTATCCGGAAGGCAGACAGCCTCGACCTCGCCTGGTACTATTGCGGTGGTTGTCCCGCCACGGGCACGGACATGGCCTGTTCTCACGCGCGCCGTAAACAAGCTGCGTCCAACGCGCTAACCGTGTAGTACGCTCTGCCACGCATTATCAATTCTCACAATAATGGACGTTTATCATTGCTGTTAAATTGGATGGTCAGATAAGTGCTCAGTCGAGAGAGATCCAGAGCACTAGAATCACCAGTGTCTCCAGTTGGATCTGTCCAGCGAGAAGGGCAAGATGAGTTATATAGTATTATGGGAAAATAAAAGATGCCACAATCATGGTTCAAGTTGAAATTTGGTGATCTGGTAAATTCGAGACGATATACTAAGAAAGAAGAGTGGAAGAGTTAGAAAGAATTATTCTTTAAAACCCTAATGTGCCCACTCCAGGGCTAAGTGGCCGGCTCTAATAGGAGATCACCCGTGGCAAGGCAGCCCCCATGCACCACAGGTCAGCGTGGTCCTGGCGGAGGTTGTGGCTTGAGTCCAGATTTTGAGGAGCAGACATTCCTCACTGTACATGTTGAAACCAGGAGCCTTCTCGGCACCGCCAGAGAGAGCGGCCTGCGGGCAAACGGGACCAAAGATGGTGGCATCCAACTACGTTCCATCTGGATCACTGTATGAGTAGTCTAACGATAAATGGCGTGGATTCTGCCAGCGATACGCGCCGATGGGAGGAAGACCGTAGGGGACGCGGGCATAACGATCAGCTTTGTTGTCAATTTGTTGTAGGCCACGGATTGGACCTAGACTGGCCAAGCCGTGCTCGCATGGTGTTTGCTCCTACGAAACGTGACTTCCCATTGCCGAATTAATGCGTTGATTAATAAAGAAAGAGATAGTGGGCAAGGGCATACGGGCCACCGGAGAGGACGCAATGGGTGGGTGAGGAAGGGGGGACTAAAATATATTCAAGTGTACGCCATGAAGGCGGGCCAGTTTCGGCCGGATACAATATTAGCATATCATTAATATAATAGCAGACATCACTCTTCTTAATCTAGGATACCAGATGAAGATACCAACAAAGTCAAATTAGATTGTAGCTATTTCCAGTAAGGGGTGATCATGATACATAGGATGCCAACTCAAAGCATCGCGTATTCATTAGACTCGAATGGTAAACACACAAATTCGCCCACTACAGACTGTAAACAAAGTGAATGTTCTCGTAGTCTGTCATGTCTGACTCTGCATTTAGGCGGCCCTGATGCGCTGACTCCTGGACAGTCATGGCCATGGCGGCAATCAGTGAAGCGCGACGTTTATTCTGCCAAACATCTAGATGCAATTTTAGCTTTGTGCACCGGACGCAGCTTTTGACTCGATGGATACTTACAGTAGGTGCGCCACGCGATCATCAAAATTATCTCCAGGCCGTACATAGTAGAGCATACTACGATCGCGGGAATGTATCGTGGCGCATCCTTAGCTCGGAAGACCTGGGCGCCGACGCAATTTCCTACACAGTAGGCAATGAATAGCACAGTGCCTGTAACCGACTTCTTCGTCCGCCCTGCCACGTTGGATGGCAAGAGAGTCCATATCAAAGGACCGGCCAGATTGCCCACACTGGTCATGAAGTACACGCCCCAGCGCGCCCACAGCAGGCCCGAGGAGTGAGGAAGCAGAGCCAGTGCGAGCATACCGCAGAAGGCAGGAATCACGGAAGCAATCATGATATAGACTGCCACCTTAGGATTAGTGTCTCAGCAAGTTTAGGATGACAGGGACAACGCACAGCGGATATCCGGTTTTTTCAATGTTAAATAACCAGCGATCAAAAACCACGCGATCGATAGCAGCTGTTGTGGAATCTTACCCTTGACGATGGTCTCCAGGGCCGTAAAACCAAAGGAGACATACACGAGGTTTCCGAAAGCGGTTGTGCCTCCATTGGGAATGGAATTGACAATGACGAGGAAGAAGAAGAAGTAGGTCTGAGGGTCGCGGAACGTGATGGCCACCTGCTTCCAATCCAGAGTGCGCTTCTGGGCATCTGAGCCAGTCTGACTGGCCACCACCCGCGCCGCAGCCATGCGCTTTTCCTCAGGGGACAGCCAGCGTACCTCGCGTGGTGTACCTAGGAGAAGATAGGCGATGCCGCTAAGTACAATGGTCAACGCCCCTAGAAAGAAGGAGATGCCCTTCCAGGGAGCCATTCCATTTGGATGTGTCTCAGCGCGGCGGCCAATACCGTAGTTAACCAAGCTAGTCAATACGTCCATCCCAGCGTTAGCGCTACCCCAGATGACGGAGCGCATTGCATGTTCTTCCTTGGTATACCATGTGGCTGTGATCAGCAGAAGGGCTGGGTAGGTGGTGCATTCAGTGACACCTTCAAGGAATCGCAACACTGCTAGACCCGCAAAGTTGGTGGCGAAGGCGATGCACAACACGATGACGCCTTCGAGCTATCATCAGTGGATAGCTCTCTCAGCATATTATGTGGACAGACTCACCCCACAGGAACATAGACACGGCCACGGTCGGGCCAACACTGACACGCTGCAATATATAATTACCGGGGGCCTCGCTGACCAGGAAAGCCAAGTAGAAGATCGAGGTCAGCCAGGAGTATTGTTGACCCACCAGATGGGTGTCTTGCTCGAGGCCAAATGTGGCCTGGGTCGAGATTGATGCCTTGTCAGCGTACTGCGTGCCAGAGATAATCCACATCAACGGGAGGATGATCCAGTCCACCTTGCGCACGAGCCGGCGGTACTGGTCCGGTGTATATTCGGCTTCACTAGCGTGGACCAGGTCGACAACCAGGCCGGGATGCTTGTCATCCCCAAGCGGCGGAGGTTCCGGCGACCTCTCTGCCAATGCAATGTCTGCTTTCCCAGATGCCATGGAGATTCAAGTTGCTGGAACTTCCCCTCGTAGTTTCGATGTCCGGCCAGTTGCAAGCAGCCCGTATTTATCGGGTGCGTCTATATGTGGCTCTGACATTCCCTGCTTGTCTGTCCGCTACTTCGGATCTCGGACCGCGCCCGATAAGAAAAGGGACGAGCGTCGTCAATCTCGACGATCTTCTTCGGTATGTGCGACTTTATTTTCATACAAATCCTACCGCTTATTGCTCCCTCCTTTCATCTGTCCATTATCGTCTTATCTCTCCTCCACCACACATACAATGACCCAATCCCAATCCACCAACGAACTCCCCACGGCTGTTGACTTCAGCCACCATATCAATTTACGATCCCGAGCGCGTCATCCCAGCCCCCTCAAGGACATTATCCGGTTTATGGCCGTTGAGGACATGGTCAGCCTGGCAGGAGGTATGTTACAGGTCAAGCTATGTGTTTTTATTATTCTGTCTCGATTAGATGCCCCCATGTTCTCGATTTTGTTTCCCCTTGTGACATATTTGCTGCTGCTGTGACCCTTATGCCCTCCCTATTCGATCCTTTGTCTTATAACCATTTGGCATCCGTTCTCTCGTCCATAGTACATTGGTCAATATTCCAATATCTGAACCACCAGGACGCCAGCCTTATGAGCTCGTTGAACTGAATTGTTTTGGTTTTATGTTGCTGGAGTAAATGGCATAAGCTATACACATGTACGCCTTCTGACATACTTTTTCAGGACTTCCGCACCCTTCCTTCTTCCCATTCCACACAGTCACTGTAACCGCATCAGCTCCAACTCCCGAGAATATCCCCTGCTCGCTCAAATTTCCTCTTGAGGGTTTCTTGCAGTATGGGTCGGGATCAGGCAATTCCCAACTACGTGCCTGGTGCCGCGAGTTTACGCTTCGGGTGCATCGCCCGGCCTACGCAGACTGGGAAGTGCTGCTGCATCCCGGAAACACCAACGCATGGACTAAAGTGGTCGGCCTGTTATGCGAGCCCGATGACTACATTCTGTGTGAGAGTTACACCTATCCATCCGCGCAGGCCTTCTGGATCCCCCTGGGTAACAAGGCGGCCCCGGTTCCCTCAGACGGAGAAGGCATGCGTGCTGATGCTCTCGCCCAAACATTGCGCGATTGGGATGATACGCACCCTGGAGCCCGGCGGCCGCGTGTGCTGTACCTTGTCAGTGTCGGCTCCAACCCATCGGGTGTTACGATGAGTACAAATCGTCGACGAGATATTTACGATGTGTGTGTTGAGTACGGTACGGCGAAACACGTGCACTACTGACTCTGCGCCTTGGGCTGATAAATGAGCAGATGTCATTATTGTAGAGGACGATCCATACTTTTTCCTTCAGTACCCGGAATACGATGCTAGTCAGGTCGCGATGGATGGCCTTGAACTCGTCGGAAACGATGAGTTCTTGAGGTCCTTGGCACCGTCAATGCTCCAATTCGACCACCAGGGCCGTGTCATACGGTTGGAGTCCTTTAGTAAGACACTGGCACCGGGTCTGCGGCTCGGCTACTTTGTCGCAAATCCGGTGTTCACGGAGCGACTGCTGCGTGCGACCGAAGTCGAGACGCAGGATCCGTCGGGCCTCTCACAGGCACTTACCCTCCGCTTGATGCAAAGCTGGGGTATCGACGGCTATCTTGGATGGCTGCAGGGGCTAAGTGTGGAGTACCGTTGCCGACGTGACTGGATGATTGACGCATTTTCGCAGCACTTCCGCCTTGAGAACGCGGCGGAGGAAAGCAGAGCCCTGGTGGCCCACCTCGGTGACATTCCTATTTTCTCCTTCGAACCACCGATCGGAGGTATGTTCATCTGGGCCTGCTTTTATCTGTCGCAGAATTCTGCCTTTAAGCAGCTGCGGCACGATGAGAACGTAATTGATCCGGAGCAGGCCGTGGCCGACCAACTTTGGCGGCAGTTCGCCGAGGCCAAAGTAAGTAGAGTACAAGTCGTTCCGTAGAGAATCCAGAAGATGTATTGACGTTCGCTTACAGGTCCTCCTGACCCCGGGATCTTATTATCACCCCTGGGAGGGACCGGACAAGGTTACAACCAACGCGCGCGGAGCCACACCCTCGACAACCAACTTTCGGTTTTCCTTCTCCATGACGACGGTATGAGACCCTGGATAGACTATCTGGTTGGATGAGCTAACAGCCATACAGAAAGAGGAGATGGAATGTGGTATTGCGCGAATGGTTCAAGTGATACGGGCGTCATGGAAGCTTGACAAGTCAGTAGATTAAATCCGCCTTAGTAGAAAAGACAATATATAGTGCTGCATCAATACCTAGTCCAGTTTGTATAACAATTATATACCATGAAAATGAAGTGCTACATTGCTTCACCCCCTTGTCACACAATTCACAGGTTTCACCCATGTGAGATCAAGGGCAGGAAGCAAGTTTCATGGTCGGCCACTGCCTGCACCGCAAACCTAGCATATCCACGCAGCATATCCACCCTTGCTTATCGGCCGCACTATCTGTTTATCAACATATGCCCAATCGCACAAGGCACCGGATGAGATCCGAACCAAGCGTGGAGTCTTCCTCTCTAGCACCTGATCTAACCCATAGCCGGCTACGCAAAGAAAACCACAGTGGCTGCTATCTACCTTGTGGCGTACTACGCGGAAGATATCATCGGGCCGCAGACCTTACGCGCAAAGGATAACTCACGGCATCTTCCTGCCAAGCTCACCATCATCGTCTGCTTCGGGCGCCTGTCCTGTCAACCTCGGGTTCATATAACGGTACTACCGTCGTTAGAATACTCTCATGACCGCTCGCCGGGCCCAGCCAGGCTACCAAGCTTGGGAAACCCTTACTTCATCTATTTGAACTAGGTAGTGGGGCCTAATGGCTACAACAGCCTTGTTTTGCGTAGCCCATTACTAAGTCTACCCAGAAATCCGCAGCCGGATTGCATTCGCGCAAACTTATTGCGAAGGTACATGCAGGTATTGCACACCACCGCTAAAGCCCATTGAAATCCATGTTCGCAGTCGATAGTGAAAAGGGGTCCCACAGCCCATCCAGAACGGGCAAAGATGGAAGATGAGCGCCCGCGTCTTCCCGGGGATGTTGCAAAAGACGCTCCAGGATGGCCCGGCTACGACTTGCGCAGGGCCAGACGCACTCTAGCTCGATCAGGGAATGTAACGCCTGATAGACGTCGGTCAGGCCCGCAGTCGGGTTATCGCTCTGTGGATTCTCCATGGTCCACAGCAGAATGCCGGAGATAGTAAGATACTGCACGCAGAAGGCGAGATGATGGGAGGGAGGCACCCGCTCGCGGATTAGCTCTGCAGCCTGGATGCAGCTTCGCGCCGCGCTGATGCACTCGCTACTCGGATCGGTGGGGGTGGACAGAGTCTGACCGACAAGAGGCCTAGCCGGTAACATGTTTAGTCATCTCTGAATACAGTATCGGGGTTCGGACCTTGACTGAGTGAAGAAACATACCGATACAAATTCATGATGATAGCTGAGTGAAGGATAAAGACGATAAAGCACATGGTGAGACTGGGTCCCGTCTGGATCCGGTTGGCAGAAAATCGGATCTCGTCCGGCAGGTGTTGTAACCAATGCTCCAGTTCATGAACCAGCCGGTCGACTGCCGGCCGCAGATGTTGCCAGCGCGCTGTCCAGGTCTCTCTTCGCACTGGCGGCGACCCGTGTAGGCGATGCACCTCGGCAGCTATCCGACACAGGCGAGTGAAGGCGACGAACCCGGCCATGGGCGAGCTGTCCCCATCGGCCGAGGGTAGTTCGCAGCAGCAATCGTCCAGGTTGGCGGCCATGGGACGACCAAGGCAGATGGAAGTCAGGCTATATGCGAGGTCAGAATCATTTCTATGTTTCTTCTTCAGGTAATTTATGTATTTCACTATGCTCTGACGCCTTTTGCTGAAGGAGGGAAATTGAAATTTGGGGCACTACCAGTCGAGTGTAAACAGGCTCCACCATACCCTTTGGGCGACTTGGGCGTCGGCACCGTGGTCGCTAGTGGAAACATGGGCATCCTTCTGCAGTACTAATGTTAACCTGACAAGCGCGATTCCACTAGTGACAGTGCACATGGAGTATGACATACCAGGCTGGCGATATGGAGGCCCAAATCCTGGGCGATGCGGACTGCCTGACCCACCAGACGCCAGCTCTGAGCCACGGTGTTCCAGCCGGCAGAGCACACGGCCAGCAGGCCCAGACACTGGGCTTGCTCCAGAAATACTTCACCGCTGGAGGCCCAGAAAAGCAGAAGAGCCTTTTGGTAGTAGTCAATGCCTACCAGGCTCGCAGCTCCGGGATCGCGTGGCAGTAGCCCGGAGGCGCAGGCGCAAACAGCAAAGAAGACGGACAGGAAACCGCGCTCTACAGAACTTCCCGCAGCCATGGCGCGATACTGGGAAACGAAGCGGGTCTGGTCTAGGATAGGAAATGTATAGTGTAACTGTTCGAAGTAAATTCCGACAAGGAGATCTGCTACATACTGGGGTGGACGGGCCAGTTCGTTCGCCGATGGCAGATAGGGGAGCTCGGGCCAGACCTGTCCATGTTGGAAGAAGGGCATTTCGATTGAGGCCTGGGGGATCGAAGCTTGAGCTGAATGGGGCGAGCGACCTGGAGACGGTGACAACCCCTGCACTGCCTCAACAACCAGATTATTGGCTGCACCGCCAAGGTATCTGAAGGGAATTCATCAGCAATGCAACTCATGCAGTGATATCTGCTATTCATAAACAGACCGCAAACGTCCATACGAGTCAGGTACCATATGCCCCACACGATCCCGCGATTTGTATGATGTGGGAGTTGGCGGGGCATCTAGATGATCGGTGCCAGGAATATCATCCTCCGTCTCCATGTCCTCTTCTGTTGGAAGGGACCTGGTCCTTGATCCTGACCGCGAGTCGGAGTTCGAGCCCGGGTTAAGAGGTAATTCCGTTCGGTTGTTGGTATTGCGAATGGCGAGGATACATTCCGATAGCGTCTGGGTGAGGTCCTCGAGCCGCAATCCCAACGCCTCAATATTCCGGTAATGCTTGTCCAAAGAGCTGGCATCGCGTCGGCTGGCTGCCGCATTATCGTTACTGTCGGGATACTCGCATTTCTGGTTGCGCGACTGGCAACCATGGCATGGCTCCTCCCCGTCACATTTTACCTGCGAACCGGCCGAGATAAGCAAAATCCGCGGAGCAGAGTAGAAAAGCAAATCAAAGAAATCAGTACTGGGACACTACCTTCTTCCGCCGGCAAGCAAGACACGCCTTCCAGACACGTCGGTCGGATTTTCTGTGGATTGGCGAAGCCATGAATAGAAGAACCAGCTGTGAGACACAAGGGGGTGCCCAGTGGTTTCATCGCGGGGAAAGTAACTTTGCGGGGAGAAGAGGGGAAGCAAATCCCTAGCTAAAATCGTTATCAGACTTTGGTTATCGGGGGAGTTGCTTATCACGGAGTTTATCATACATGATCAGTGCATTGACTCGTAACGAGTTCCTTAGTTCAATTGTCTGCTATCTATCAGTTCTCACGTTGATAAATGTCATTCTGTCGCACTCGGCCAAGCACAACATATTCATCCGGCCTCCTCGTGAACTTGCCCGTGATTTCACATCAGCGGCGATTCTATAAGCATGACGAGACACAATGTAATAATCGCTTATAATTAGCTCTAGTAACAGATATTGAAGATAGCTTTATGGGACTAGACTACAATACAACAGAGCTTGAAGGGTTCAGCAACTGAAACCGGACCTCGGGCCGTGATCCGACCCTATTTCCCATTTATATACAATGATTTAAACAACCCGCAGTATTTATCACCACTACTATCACCACTCGCACCCAATCGTTGCAGGTACCACTTCAGAACCGGTAGGCCCCCTGTTTACTAGCATGGCCACTTCTATTGCTTCGCCAGTGGTGTCCACAACTGGCAAGACGCGGCTGCAGGCCTCACTAGAGCGTGCGACCGCGCGGCAAGGGCCGTCCATTGGACAGTGGCTTGAATTTCCGGGCTACTCATTAGCACGCACCGTAGCACCTTTAGGGGCAGATGTATGTGCAGTCTGCCTCACAATTACTTTGTCTTCAACACTGATACTGAGATAGTGGGTATTGATTGACTGTGAGCATGGGGACATCGATGACAAGGCCATGTACCTGCAGGTCGGAGCGGTCTCCTCAGCTGGGGTGTCGCCCATCGTGCGCATTCCCGCCTCGGAGCCCTGGATGATGAAGCGCGCCCTGGACTGCGGCGCCCACGCAATAATGGTGCCTATGTGTGAGACCAAGGTCCGTCAAATGCCCGTCCTGCCATTCCTTCCTCGTCTAAACATCCTGTCAGGAACAAGCCGAGGCTATTGTACGAGGGTGCAAATACCCCTCTTCGCAGTGGCCCCAGGGGTTGCGGGGTGCAGGTGCCATGTTTGCTCCGGCTGCCTTCAATCAGAGCAGCCGAGAGTACCTGACTCACGCCCACGACAACGTGCTGATTATCGTGCAGATTGAATCGCGGATGGCAGTCGAGAATTGTGCTGCCATTGCAGCAGTTCCAGGCATCGACATGCTCTTCGTCGGGCCCAATGACCTGGCCTCATCCCTGGGGTATTTTGCCTTGGACCACGCCCAGATTCCTGAGGTCCAGGAGGCCACAGATCGCGTTCTGCAAGCCGCCAAAGGTGCGGGAAAATATGCTGGTCACTTTGCCCTTTCGGCAGATGTGGCCGCGGCCAAATATCAGCAGGGCTTTGATTTTGTCAACTCTGGAGCGGACATTGTCGCCTTGACTTCCTGGATGTCAGCAGAACTGACCAGGTTGCGCCGACTTACAGAAATTAGCGCTGCAAAACCGAGTACTCAGTAACTACGGAGTACTTTGGTGCTCTGTAAACGGATTTGGCAACCTTAATTACAGCGACTGATACAGCACAGAACAGAACGTCTCTTTCTTATTTCTTTCAATGGCATGTCTAATGTTGGAAGGAAGAGGAACAACTACAAGTTTATTTCCTTATTTCGGTGGACTGACCTCACATGATACGCATATTATTATTGCTTGGTTCATGGCATCCTGTCCCACCGAACCTTGTGCCACCCAGGTTCACGAGGAGCGGAGAATATATCGACGATCCCACTCAAATCTATGCAGTGCGGATTCCGGTGAATAAACCAGCCATTCCTTCGGCAGCTGATGTAAAGCTAATGGCGGAACGAAGTTGAATTTGCATTTGCAGGTAGAATAGTGAGCACAGGAATTGGCATCATGTATGCCGAACATCCTGCCCATACCTCTACTCAGCTGTATTGCGCACCTCCCACACTGCCATATCCTTAAAACCGAAATCCTCAACTGCGACGTAATTGGCTGCCTGAGGCCCCAGATGAAAAATCCTTCCGAATAGTTTGATGATGTAGAAGAAGGTCCTCGTATAGGAGAGTGCCAAAATGAGACTTCTCATGGTCCAGATGCCCCAAGCGGTTTCGGGATTAATAAGATGTGGCATACCAGGTGCCAATTGCTGTGCATCCTCGACAATAGGTCGCATTTGCTCATCATACTGTGCCAAGGCAGATGAAAGGTCTGGGCTCTCTCCCTTGATGTAGGGTTGGAGGTAACCCGCTAGTTTGTAGGCTGCGCTAAAAGCCAAAGTTGTGCCCAGGCCCGATATGGGCGATGCACAATACCTTTCCATGTATCAGTCGAGAGTAGTCCAGAAAGACCAGCCAAACGCAGCTGTGATAATCCAAGGGGCGTCAACTTACCCAGCATCCCCCAGAAGCACTACCCTTCCTTTACTCCATCTGTCCATCTTCACCTGCGATACCGCATCATAGTAGAAATCATCAGTTGCCTTCATTTCCCGAATGATTCTGTCGCACTCCCACCCGGCGCCGTGAAAGTATTCCTCCAAGAGTGCTTTTTGCTCCTGAATGCCGCCACTCCCCTTCGTCGCCACATCGACGAATCTTGGGTCCTTATCATTGACCACATACATGAGGATCGTAGACCTCATGCCGAGACCGTCTGGTCGCAACATAATGCCTCGTCGCCCAGGGGCATGAAACCACCGCCTCCAGTTGTCGTCGTGTTCCTCTCGCGGAATGCTGAAGAAGCCCGCGAACATACCCAACCGCTTCAGTCGGTTGTTTTCCCCTTCTTCTCCCCAAACCATCTTCCGCGTCCTGCTCTGCATGCCATCAGCTCCCACCAAGAGGTCGAAGCTTCTTGTCTTCCCGCTCTTAGCAAAGCGCACATGCACCTGGCTTCCGTGCTGCTGGATATCCTCCAGAGAATCACCAAAAATGTATTCGATCCCAGCGGCGCCCTCGCGTTGGGCTGCCGCGCTAATCCGCTGGCTATTCTTCCAGCATAGCTCAGCCAGTTTACCCCTGAGAATCTCTATGTCGCTTGTTCCTGTCTGTATTGTACCGGTTCTATCTGCAGGATTCTCCGTCCAAATACGATAACTCTCATCAACCATGCGGACGCCCTCTTCCCCCGTGGTCGAAGCTCTGATTTGGGCCTCCAGTCCGAGCTTGCGGATGATGGTCACACCTGCGCCACGAATATCAATGTTCTGGCCGCGCAAATGAGCTTTCTGGTTAGACTCGCGCTCCAGAATGGTTATCCGAGGCTTTTGGGCTGCGGGGATGTCGGCGAGCAGCAGAAAGGACGCTAATGTGGGTCCTGCGATGCCACAGCCGACTATCAGGATGCTCAGAGATGCCATGTCGGTGATAGGAGGATAGATAGCTATTGTACTCAGAAAAGGATCAGATAGCCAAGAGCAACAGAGTCTTGGGTGTCGTGAGAGTGCGTGCCTTCAGCCACGTGATATCAGCATGGCTGCATATTTAGCGCCGTGCGAATTGTCGGTCAGGCCATGAATCCCTGTCCCTTGCGGTTGATTGGTGGAGTAGCTGAGAATTCTCTTCCTTTTGGTGACACTCCTTTCTCAAAATGCTCTGACCCGTTAGTCTGGCTCTAGTGTAAGGATAATACAACATCGCTTAGTGTGGCCCGTTCACAACAGTCACCCTGATCTGTTCGGTTATCATCGGTTCACCATTCTATCTATCGCCGATATAAGAAACGTGGAGCATTTATGTCCCGGTCTTCCTATAGTGTGCACTAGCTCCTATGTGGGACAACGGGCGACGCTCTCAGTCAGCGCGGGGTATGACAGGCTTGATAGCCCCCTATAGCCCGTCCCTTCGTTTAGTAGCACATGTTCTAGACTCTAGACACTAATCTATTCCAGTAAACAGGACGCGACCGTATCAGACTCTGCTCGCACAAGCGCCATCTTGATCTATGCTAACCAATGGTCCTTCAGGACATTGTAAAGACGTCAATGCGCGTATAAATCACACATTTGCCTTCCTTTAAGTACCGTCTATACAAGTCGAAGTACTAAGTGCTATCATGCTTAGGATGATAACTGGTGAAGGTACTGACTAGAGATATGTAACCATGTGAAAGTCTCTAAAGAGAGAGAGGATACTGACCAGAACGAGTAACAGCTGAAAACGCACTGTATGAGGCATTAGTAACGATCGTGACAACTTATGCCATGAACTATCTGCGGATTAGAATCAACATATTGTAATTTGAGCAATTACTATGAAGAGGTCGGCTGCAAGACGCCAATGCTTTGGTTTCTAGAATTGGTCACTTGTCCAACTTCAACGGGTCCAGGTGCCGCATGCTATCATCATAATGTTCTGCCTGCAGTTATCAGCTACACGATAATATGACCATCCTACTCCACCTAATCCAATCTGAGCTTAGCATTGTTCTTTCGATCTACGAAAAGCATGTTGCCGGCGTTGCCTGCCAATTTCCAAGGCAAATAGTGAATCTCCTTTCGTATCATATCCCTTGTTGCATGTAAGGCACGTCCGCAGAACATGACCACCTTGACTTTAAACGTTCGAAGAGCTATCAGGCTGGTGGCGATAGATATTCTGCATACAGCAACCCCGCCAAGTCCTCAAAGCTAAACGGAGTTTAACCCTACGCGACGTAGCGGGTGAATTATAATGGTCTTGTCAGCAGTTAATTCACACTTTGGCATAAACTTAGCACGTCACTCATATGCTTCAACATCCTCAACAGCAATCGATGACAAAGCCAAGGGAGGCAGTGCTGCGCCGAGAGCATCGAGATATGGTAGACCCGTTATTTATCCAACTTTAACCGCCATACTGACAAGCTGGCTGGCAGCACTGAGACTTATTCACAATAAACCTCTCATCTTCAAGGATCTCACTCTATTAATGCTTTGAGCCGGTTGACCCAGGCATCCAGCGCATCGGCTCTTGTCCATCACTTTTGTAAAGTGGCGCAGCGAGACCCCGGGAGATTGAGGTCTGATAGCCTTTCCGTGTATCGTTCATGCCGCATCATTGTACCATGGTTCACTCTCTGCACAGAGGTATATAGCACAGCCTCAATACATCAGTGGCTATCGAGACCTATGTATACACCATAAGAACAACGATACAATCTTGTGTTCAAATAGCTCCATCCATTATTTCTTTCCTGAAATGCTGCAAAGATGAGTAGTCCCGATCTTGACAACTCGGAGAAAACTGAGAGCCACGCGGTTCCATCCTCCGCCCCTGGCCTCGGAGCGGAAAACGGACCCGACGGCGGCAATTGTTTTGCTTTTTCGCCAACCCAGCTAAACGACTTATTCAATCCAAAATCGCTGGAAGCTTTCTGCTCTCTGGGCGGACTTTATGGACTGGAATTTGGGCTACGAACTGATTTAGCTACCGGGCTGCAGTCCGATGAGTCCGTTCTGTCAGGGCGTATCTTGCTCGAGGACGTGAAGCAAGTCGCATTGGCAAAGACGACAACATCGCAACGTCCGCTCCTAAGCAATCAATCTCGTCCAGCCGGAGGTAAAACATATGGTCTGCCATTCCACGATCGCATAAGGGTATTTGGGCGCAATGTATTGCCGGTGACCAAACGAAAAGGATTCGGACGATTGCTATGGGATGCCTACAATGACCGAATAATTCTACTTCTCACAGCAGCTGCAGTTGTGTCACTGTCATTGGGTATCTATGAAGCCGCCAGCGGGCAGTCACAGGTAGACTGGATTGAGGGAGTGGCTGTTTGCGTGGCAATCTTCATTGTTGTCTCGGCCACGGCAGTGAATGATTGGCAGAAGGAAAGACAGTTTGTTCGTCTGAACAAGTTGGTACGCTCCATCCACTAGCCTCACTTGCTGCATGTGTCTGGGCTAATAAGTGTAGAAAGTTGAACGTGAAGTTCGTGTAATCCGCTCCAAACAGTCCATCATGGTTCATATTAACGATCTGACGGTCGGAGACATCGTGCATCTCGAGCCTGGAGACTGTGCACCGGCTGATGGAGTGGTGGTGACATCTTATGGGTTAAGGTGCGACGAGTCAATGGCGACTGGCGAGTCGGATCATGTTGAAAAGCACACGGGCTTCGAGGCTTTCGATTGCATTGCCGCCAAAACCTCAGCTGATGATATAGATCCATTCATTATCTCGGGAAGTAAAATACTTGAGGGGCTGGGGACTTATCTGGTGCTGAGTGTCGGACCTAACTCCACTCATGGGCGAATTATGGCTGGTCTTGCTGTCGAAAGCGATCCAACGCCTCTTCAGGTTAAACTGAGTCGCTTGGCAAAATGGATAGGCTGGTTCGGACTTGGGTAAGGCCCACCCCCCACGACTCTTGCTCTGGCTATGAAGAAGTACTAATCAGACCGCTCGACAGGGCAGCTCTACTGCTATTCTTTGTACTTCTGTTTCGCTTCCTGGCTCAGCTACCCGAAAACGATGCACCATCCACAGAAAAAGGTCAGATCTTCATGGACATTCTCATTGTTGCGGTCACGGTAATTGTTGTCGCAATTCCAGGTATGTCGATTAGGAACCGGTCGAACTAATTCATGCAACGATCTCGTATTGACTTCTGTTAGAGGGGTTGCCACTCGCCGTTACGTTGGCACTAGCGTTTGCGACGACACGTATGCTCAAAGAGCAGAATCTGGTTCGGCAACTGCGCGCGTGCGAGACCATGGGCAATGCAACCGTCATCTGCTCGGACAAGACCGGCACCCTCACACAAAATAAAATGACAACTGCTCTTGGCATACTGGGCTTAGCGGACGCCTTTACACAGTCAGCTACAACTGCCTCCAGTGTGGAGCAAGCTTCCTTTAGCTTTCCAGAAGCCATCGGCCGATACCCCATAGCCTTCCGCGATCTACTCATCAAGAGCGTAACCGCGAATTCCACGGCATTTAGAGAAGAGCGAGAAGGCCGGATGGGGCTGGTAGGAAACAAAACAGACATCGCACTTTTGCACCTAGTGCAGGAGCACCTCGGGGTACATGACATCAGTCGAGAGCGGGCAGAGATCGATACTATACAGGTCTATCCATTTGATTCTGCTCGCAAAGCAATGGCGTTGGTGTACCGTGTGGACGAATCGAGGTGCCGTGTACTTGTAAAGGGGGCAGCAGAGGTGGTTCTGAGAGAATGTACTACCGTTATCACTCCAGAATCCTCCACACATGAGGATGTATTGACTCAACAGATAAGGGGGACCGACTTTGAAACGTTGGGTGGGGCGATCAGGACATACGCCTCTGCATCGCTACGCACAATAGGACTCGCATATCGTGATATCCCAATCGAACTAGTCGCCGGGGATGATGGCCAAGAAAAGGCCAGCCTTGGGTTTGAGGAGCTATTTCGAGATATGACATGGATTGGGCTCTTTGGGATCCATGATCCCTTGCGACCAGAGGTAACAGATGCAATACAACAGTGTCACTCGGCTGGGGTCAAGGTTAAGATGGTGACAGGTGGGTAAAATCTCACAATTTCGAACTCGTGTTGACACTTACGCGTCTTAGGTGACAACCTTAACACTGCATTAGCGATAGCAGAATCCTGCGGTATCAAAACGGCTGAGGGTGTTGCTATCGAGGCGCCAGAGCTTCGTAAACTTAATGAGACTGAATTGGATTTTATCATCCCGCGTCTTCAAGTGCTGGCTCGCTCATCTCCAAGTGACAAACAACTTCTTGTAAACCGTTTGAAGCACCTGGGTGAAATTGTTGCCGTGACTGGTGATGGGACGAATGATGGTCCGGCACTGAAATCAGCCGATGTTGGTTTCTCAATGGGACTGAGTGGAACCGAGGTGGCGAGAGAAGCGAGTTCAATTATTCTTCTGGACGATAACTTTAGATCTATTGTGACCGCGATTGCCTGGGGCCGATGCGTCAATGACGCTGTGGCCAAGTTTCTGCAGGTATTGTCTGTTCCAGCTGGCGGCTTCCTTGGGTACAAACAATTCTAACAGCTCATTGATGCAGTTTCAATTGACGGTAAACATCACAGCTGTATGTTTGACTGTTGTGACCGCCATATACAACAGCTCCAACGAAAGCGTTTTTAAAGCAGTGCAATTGCTGTGGCTGAATCTGATCATGGACACTTTTGCAGCCCTAGCTCTGTAAGTACTTGTTCTGCCCACTGTGAGCTTCCCTGAACACTGTTGACTGACCTCTGAGCAGAGCGACCGATCCCCCGACCCCGGAGATACTACAGCGTCCTCCCACTCCCCGGAATGCATCATTGTTCACAGTTACCATGTGGAAGTTAATGCTTGGTCAATCCATCTACAAGCTAGCGCTATGCTTCACACTCTACTTTGCTGGTGATAGGATATTGAGTTTGGACATGGATGATCACAATGAAAGACTGCAGCTCAACACCATCATCTTCAACACCTTCGTATGGATGCAGATTTTCAACGAATTTAACTGCCGCCGGCTAGACAACAAACTCAATGTCCTTGAGGGTGTTTGGAAAAATCGATGGTTCATCGTGATAAATATTCTAATGGTGGGCGGTCAGATACTCATCATCTTCGTGGGCGGCGCGGCGTTTGGCGTCGTCAGACTTAGCGGCACCCAGTGGGCAATCTGTCTTGGATGTGCGGTAATCTGTATTCCTTGGGCCGCCGTGCTCAAATTTATCCCGGACAAGTATGTGGCTTATGTTTTGAGATGGTCTGGTTGGTGTCTGTTTGCAATCCTTCGCCCATTGAAGAGGGTAGTACAAATCCTTGGACAGGCGGTCAGGCAGACTGGTTTCTGGTCCCTGATGCACCGATGGCACTTAGGCAAGCATCCTACAAAAAGTCACGCCGATGAGGAAACTGGGAACGGTCTGCATTCGACCATTTAGCAGCTTTTGAGATCGTGGGCATGCAGAGACCAGATTGGGCTACATATTTCTCGACTAACTGCAAGATATTCCAAGGCTATTGGGTTCGCATTATCAGTGCGAGGGAAAGGTCTACTCACATCTGCGTGGATTTTCCAGTTTGGAGTTCCAGTACAAACGATTAACCTTAGCGGCGTCACTTGTTTATGTCGTGATGCCTGCGAATAAAGTTCTCAGAGGTACCAGTATCTAATATATATATTTGACCGCCGGAGACCGTAGGAAAGGGATACATTCTCCACCACCATAAGCCCCATCCAGATCCCCTCGGAGAATAGATACGTACTAATCATATGATAGTCCTCCTAATGTAACCGAGCAAATACCATTATCTCTGCTTATCACCTCACATGAAAATAAATGTGTTGCAACTGGGTATTTACCAAGTCGTGGTTCATGTAGTTAATTAAACTAACCTCCACTAGTCCAGTTAGGGTGGGTTCGCTACCCATCCGAGTCATTGAGACTAAACCCTGTTGGGACCCCGCATCCGCTAGGTTCTCCTGCGCAGATTGTCTCCTGGTTCAGCCTTCTCTCTCCCCTCCTCAACATGACTCATTGGCAATCGTACAACACTAGTATCGCGGCCTATAATAAAGAGAGGGTATGGCCGGTATTGCCCCGCTGACGATCAGGGTCTTCCTGAATTTCTCCATTATTCGACACCCTCAGGATGGCTGTCGACCCCTCGGTGTTTACTCCCTGGTTCGGCCCGCAGCAGGCGGCAAACTACTTCCGCTCTCTAATTTCCGACGAGGTTTCAGAGACACAGGTCTTGGACATCAACCTTTGTCTACTACGTTGTGTTCATGACGGAGGAATAACCCCCAAGATCTTTGCCGTATGGCTATTTCTTGCCCATCCAAAATTCCCTTGCATCCTTGAAGACGCCCTGCGCGACGAGGCGTCGCGTGGTGTGCGAAAGACCGGCATAAATGTGCTGAAATGTGCCTTGAGAACAGACCAGTGGTGGAAGAACGGTTGGGAGGCAGTTGGTGGCACAGCGGGTCTAAAGGATATCTTCGAGAAGCTAAGCATCCAGGAGGCGAGGAGCCTGGCAAGAGCCATCGGGTCGTGCTCGAACACCAGCGATCCTCTCCTACAACAGGTAATCGATGAGCTGCTTCATCGGTTGCTCCCCGATTTCTTCGAGTCCTCATCGACCCCGGTCCCTGGCGACTCTCAACAGCTACTCAAATTGGAGGATGTTATGTCGTTATTCAACCTGTCCAGCGACGCCACTCTGACGAAAGTCTTCTCAACACCCCTGTCCGACGACGTCATGTGCCCCCTGATGCGACAACTGCTCAACTCTCATATGTTGCTACTAAGGCATATTGCCGTCGGGGCTGTCCCGGTCCATCCTCCGCTCCGGAAGCGTTTGTTGGACCAGCATCTCGCTGCGTTGCTTACATCGATTGAATCCTACGAGTCGCGGTTTGGTCAAGGCAGACAAACTGGCTTCCCGGCCATCGATTTCACCTTGGACCTTTTTGCTAGCGAGTTTGATGTTTCCGAAAAGGCGCGAGTGGTTAATTGGCATACGCGCATTCGGTGCATCAATATCACTCTCACAGCCTCCCGCCGCCGAAAAGTGCCTTTCGACGCTATTTTCGCCTTTCTTCAGCAGGTAATGCCAGACCTAAGGCATTCGGAACGGAGGCTCACCGATTGGGTGCCCCTCCTGTACTCATTAATAGAAATGTGGGTCATTGCCGCTTTCCCAGATGCACATCTAGATTCGATTTCTGATGCACCTGCTGCTCGTTATCGGGAGCAACTGCATCCGTCTCGACCAAGAATCAGCCAAAAGAATTCTTTGGAGTCAATGCTTCGAACAGTCATTTGCACCCTATCAACCGATCAGTTTCAACATTGCCTCAGAACCCTTCTTCCTAAGACCATTCCGAAAGCAAGGCTTTCCTTACTCAAAATTCTCTGCAAGAACCTGCATTACCTGAACATTGATCTGGACCAGCCTATGCCGTCAGAGAAGGAGCACAAACTTGTGCCATGGAGTTGGTCGTTGCTCATGTCTCTTCCCGGTCGCGATGCTAGATGGTTACTTGAGCGCGCCGCATTGCTGACGCCGAATCGGAGTTTGACCAAGCTTTTCGTCTTCGAGTGGCCAGCAAGCGCAGGGGACGCGTCGTATTTCCGAGACGCCTTGATCCGAGTTCACTTGGACGCTATGGACAAGGAAGCAGCTGGTCCGGTGAACCTGGGAGCCCGCGATTGTGAGTTCAGCCTTTCTATGTGGATAAATAATAATGCTGATGTTTGTCTGCCCTGTACAGTAATCGAAGAAGTGAAGCTCAAGGCTGCAAAAGCCCGTGACCCGGAAGATCGGCTGCAGTGGGCTAAGCTCACGATCACCATCGCAAAGATGAGCCGAGATATTCGCCACGTACAAGATGTCATCCTTTGGACATCGCGCTTCCTGCGGGATCCGGTACGTCCACTCCCTGTTTTGTCATGTATATGCGGGTTGCTAACCATATAAATTTCTCCAGTTTGTGAGACCAGAGCTCGCCAGAAGGATTTATCGGGAGGATGTTGCATCCGTTCTCTCATGTGTGGCGTCGCCAACACTGGAAGAGCTCGCAGCTAATGTAGCCATTGCTGATGAGGTGATATATAATCTTCTGGAACAAGCGCTTCTAACTGTGCAAGAACCGTGGTATCAGGTTGACCAGGATCGTGATTTTCGCCAGCTACTTAAGCTCGTCGTTTCTAGCCGGATAAATGCGGTGAAGCGCCTATGTTTCAGTGGCCTAGGGAGCGAGCAGGACGTGGTGAACACGCTCTTCGAAGGGATAGTGCCATTACTGCTGAGATGTGAAACGTTGGGTAGTACGGAAGGATACGAATCCCTTGGCTGGGGACAATTGTCCGGCCCACTGACAGAACTCTATTGCCCTCAGAACCCACCAGTCTCGATCCTAAAGCTCCTGGATTCGCTCGCACAGCACCGAGATCTTCTTTGGATCAAACAGCGTAGTCTTCGCATCCCAGAAACCGAATCTCTGCCTGAGGGCCTACCGCGAGGCCTCCCGCTTCAGTTTCTCCTTCCGTCACTGAAATGGACGATAGCGGTGATAAAACATATAGGGCCTAGCGCCTTTGTCACGGAAAGAGTGACCGAAGTTGTGTTCTCGAATCCTGGTTTGCTCCTCACAATGGTCAAGGAGGATAAACGCCTAGAGTACTTGGTGGATAGTTTAAGGTTTGCAATCGAGGCTTACCTCGGCCATCTGCCGGTCGCTGAACGGGGGAAAACAATCCTGGAGATTTGGAGGCATTACTCAGAGAGAATTCCATCTTCTGTAGGCCACCTGGAGGTCTTCAAGCAATACATGTGCTCCTTGCTGGAATCCAGGAAGTTACGGAAAATGGCGAGGATCATCGACCCTCCCCAGTTGCCTTCTGTGGATATATTCATGAATATGTCACGCGAGTCACCAAGCCTCGAATGGGAGCCCCGATCAGCAAATGTACCACAAAATGCACAAGGCTCCTGGGATGGTTCATTATTACAAGTTCGATTGTTGACCCGAAAGGTAGAAGGATCTTTACAGACATTATTGACAGGTCCTCGTCCCCGCATCTGGTGGTCATCACCTAAGAAACCCAAGGCCTTCGATATATGGCGGCCCAAATATAGTCCTCGAAGACTTTCCTGCCAGTATCGAGAATCACTCATTGTCTCCGCCCTCTTGTTTCTCGGCAGTCTAGCCTCTAAGGCGGACCGGATCCTGTCCAAGCCATTCCCCGAGAATACAGATATTCTTCGGTATCCACCAGTGCACCTGGATTACGAGTTTATGGCCACCATCGATGACCAGAGAAAAGCAGCAACTGCAGCTATCTCTCTTCTCAATGGCTTGGTCAAGATGGTATCACCCACCCTCCTGTATCATCTTTCGCTGTCCCTCTTGGAAACTCTCCACGGACTTGAAGGCACATCGCCAAGATATGCACTAGTTCAGCGACTTGCATTCGAGTCAATGGCGCTGGTGCGGCGGTCGGACCGGCCCGAACTAGCTGCGAAGCTAGGTCTGAAAGCCCTTCAGCTATTTCCGGAAGCTTCGTCCTGGCACCGGATGGCATTCCCTTCGTCGATCGCCAGAGTTCTCAGTCGTGCCAATGCAGACCGAGTGATACAAGATTTCACTGGCTATGTCTTCAAGGCATTAGAGGAGCAGAAGCAGTCAACGATTTCGGAACAGGGTAATGTAAAACCAGGAAGAATTATCATCAAGATCACGACTGTGAAGATGCTGGCTACTCTGCTGGCCCAAAGCAGATCTGGCGCGTCACCCTTCTCCGCCGTTGAAGCGTTGAAGGACCTCTTTTACGCCAGTAACCATATCGATGTCCGGGTAGCGGTGTGCACCGCTCTACTGGAAATCGTTGGAGAGTCCAAACACAGTGAACAAGCTTACCAAACATTTACGTCGCTCATACCCTATGCCGCAGTGCCGAGCGAAACCAGCCCCTGTGGATCTTGGTTGCAATCAGATGACGCCGATCTTCCAAGAGTGGATTGGCAACGGCCCCTACTCGACTTATTTACCAAAGAGGCGTGCAACAAACTGCCTGCAAAATACCTTGAAAACTATACATCCATGGCACTTTTACCCCTCCTTGACGAACTAACAAGACACCATAACCGATGGATGCGCCAGTTCCTTTCTCCCCTTGATCTCACACCCGAAGAGCAGTCTGTGACAGACTTTGGCCCTTTCGAACCAGACCTGATTCAAACATTGATGGATCGGTGGTATGAATACCTGCCCCGAGAATTCCTACTCAGGTACCGGGCTTGGATTCTAAGCTACATTGATTGCATTCGTCTCCGGAGCGTTGACGATAAAATGACTTGGAAAGACGGATCATGGCGGAGATCTGACTCATATTCTCACTGGAGTAGGTGGTTTGGCGTTCATGCTGGAATAAAATCTTTCCATACGCTATTGGGGAAGATTGATGCCAAGAAAACCACCAAAGTTGGGAATGGCATAACCCGCGAAGATCTCGCGGATGTGCTTATGGCGTGTGCGGAAACGTTTCTTCGGAACCCATACAAGCTATTGTCCTATCGGGTCGACGTGTCCCTGGACCGAATTATGAATCTACTTTCTACGCTAGGCATTACCAACTCGGAACGTCGTACTGACGTTTTGCCGATTGCTGAACGAATAGTAGCATTCGCGCAGGAGTTGCGAACGGTGGAATGGAGTTACGACCCACATCGCAGCCCTCCTGTCCTCCCCTCGAGATTCCAGCTCCAAACTTTGCTTCTTCCGTTTCCTCAGTTCTACAAAGAAGATCCTTACCGTTACGTCCGGTTTGTATCCAGCACGCTGAGTTTGGTCCAGGAATGTGTCTGCTTTGACACGTACATCGCCGATAGAGCTGTTCTCCAAGAGGCGATGAACCACGTAACGAAAGAGGATGCGCGACAATGTGCATTGGAATTCGGCCAGCGGTATGAGTCCAGCCCAACTACACTTGTACAGCACGTAAGAGTATGGCTAGCGCAGGTTTTGGCACTGAAATGCAACATGCACAATGACGAGAAGGACTTGACGGGACGAGCAATGATGTTGCAGTGGAGGAACAGCCCAAATGAGTCCATCCGGTCTATCGGGTGGTCCATATACCCCAAAGCCATGTGACCTTTTGCCATAAGATGCATGTACTCTAACTTTCGCAATATGATACATCACAGATCAACCTCCAGAAGTAGTGGTTTAACGATATGAAGCATAGAAACAGGTGGGATAAAGCGCTTATAATCAGGATTCCATCAATTTTGTATGCTGCAGAAAGTTCGGTCCAAGCTGGCAAGCAGTGAAGACGCGGTTTTATCGTAACCTGGCCTCCAGAATGACGCAGAGAAGGCTGAAGTAGCAAAAAAAGCCCAAGCGCAAGACTCGAACTTGCGACCTCACGATAATTGGTTAATTAGACGTGCGCTCTGCCAATTGAGCTAGCCCGGGTTGATGTTGCATCATAATTCGGGAGTTGGCCTATATAGCGGGCGGCAGTTTGCAAGCCTTCAGATTATGGCAATGGAATGCCATGTTGGATTAAGGTTATAGCTTACGAATAAAATAGATGTTATTCAATACTTCATTGCAAATGTTATCTTGGTGGATCTCTATTGGTAGACACAATGTGTCAGTCCGTTTGCACCACCGTAATGAGTTCCTCCACAATGCGGGCGTTGTTCATTTGGACTACAATCCTCGACCAACAAAGTCTAGCAAGGTCCTGCTTGAATTTCACCTCTGCTTTAGGATCCCAGGCCATAAACTCTTCAACAAGGTCGACTATCCACACTTCCTGGTGGACCTGTCTACAAGATATGATGTCAATCGGTGTCAATTGTCTCAAACTGCGAGGAATATTGGAGGGAGGATACAGCGTATGGAATGCATTAATGAATCGATGATATTGGGCTGACGGCAAGGAAGAGAAGCAAAGTGCGTTCTTTGCTAATCGTATCCTTCTATTTTAGGCAGTTTACCTGCGACGAAAATGTCTAATGATGTAGCAACGGATTTGTACATTAATTCATTGCCTTCATCAGATTGCTTTGCAGCAATATCAATTACCTCATCAAACCATCATGTGTTGATGTGAAAATCCCTATTCGCAAACGCTATCTACAGTCTGATTGAGTAACGTTGCACGTGACACATGTAATTCTATCCCATCCTATTTTCTCCCCTCAAGTTTTGGCGATAGATAGATTCGGATATAGTAATAGATGTGACACCCATACATGCTATGCTCATATCGTCAATGAATTTATGCTCGATATGTCTAGGTAACTGTTTAGGCACCTACTGAATAGGCCGATGCCAGATACGGTAAATGAGCACAACACAGGCGTCACAAAGAAGGGTCAACTATTTGACTCTGATAACATGCACCTTTCACCTTTTTCGACCGATAAGATCGGCTAATATAAGTGTCACTAATAATTTTCCCTGCATTGTGCCGTCGTAACTGTTATTGTGTCACCTTGCACCCTAGCTTGGTGTATCGCCTGTATTCCGGGTGTGGTGATACCAACATTCTTAGCTTCCATATTTGTGCAGACCTGCCGTGTTGTGGTACAATTTACTGCTACCCTGGATCGGCGGGATGACACAGGCTACACAGCGTCCTCCTGAGCCCAATATGCCAAAAGGATCAGTAAGACCTTCTTTTAAGTGAAGTAATTACCAGGTAATACCATTCCTTTCATCTTCCCTTGCGGAAGAAAGAGGTGGGAAAATGTAAATATATGCAAAGTTATATTCTGGGTACTTCATCTTGTCGGCAGAATTGAGTAAAAAGTGTCCTAAACAACATGGTCACTACTAAGTGTTACAGGTACTATTTTCTTAGCATAATATTTGCTTCTGCTTAATTTTTTACTCTACTACATCCAGTCCTACCATTTTCTTCATGATATAATTAAAGAATTCCAGGAGGAGAATATTATTCAGTCTTATTAATATTAAGAACTTATTATATTAAATCTAATATATTAAATTATATTTACTGAGCTTCCTTATAACTTATTATATTTTTATAATAGAATTAGTATTACTAAAATTATTTAAATTATTTATAGCTTATTTAATGATATTCTTAATAATAATATATAGTAAATTTGACAGCAACTCAGGATATAGCATATTATAATAAAAATTAAATTAAATAGTATTCATTAATAAATTAATAACTTTAATATTTTATAATTATTGTTAGGGGTCGCTCCTTGGTTCCAAGAGTACATCGCCTGTTGGACAAGAAGGAATAACTGGTGTTTGAATAAAGGCCTCAGGATATCCGAGGTTTTATGTATATATTAGTTAGTCAGCAGGCAGTTACAAGACTAGATAACCAAGTTTTTTAGTAGAGACTTGTCTTATAATATTATTCCCCTCCCCTTTCAGTGTGGTGTTAGGTCGGGATATAAATATATTTATAAATTAGAAAACTTAAATCTTTATATTTTTTTTTTATATTTCTACTATTCTTTTGTCTGTACTCTTATTACTATTATAACTTTAATCTTTCTATTCTTTATCTGTAGTCTCTGGATATCATGCTTTATTTAGTTTATTCAATTTTATATAAATATTTAAGTTCTATAAAAAATTATTTCTTTCTATAATTTTTTTTTTATTACTTACTCAGTGTAGCTTCCACTTTTATCATAGTAAGACTGTATTTTTTAGTATAAACTTATATAATATCAACCCTCCAGTTATATAACTAGTCTAAATCTTTATATATAAAAAAGATTTTTTTTTTTTTTTCTTCTTTTTTTCTCTCTGTCCATGAGCAGAAATCTTCTTTATCTAGGCCAGGCATTGGACCAGCCTAGATTAAAAATAAATATATACAAGAATATAGACTTACTAAGATCAAAGACTAATATATATAAAAATATAGATTTACTAATATTTAAATAAATTAAGAGTAGAAAGAATAATTTTTTTTTTTTTTTTTTCTTCTCACTTCTCAGTAGTTAGTTCCAGTATTATATATAAATAATCTTATTAATCTTAATACTCCAGCTTATTTTATTATTTCTAGTACTCCATCTCAGCTTATCTTTAGTTATAGTTATATTACTAGCAGATTTATATAATTATATAAATTCTAATACTCTAGCTTATTTTATTATCTCTAGTATTATTTAATAAAATAAGAGATATCTTCTTCTTTTCTTATTTTTTATAAGATCCATGTTTTCTATTTTATTTAAGTTAAATAAATAGAATATATCTATCTCCTTACTTCTTCTTGGGTCTGTAATTTTATTTTATTTATATTTTATAAATAAGAAATATATTTTTTTTTTTTATTTTCTTTATTATTCTTACTTTTCTTATTTTTTTTATTTTTTTTACTTTTTTTACTTCTCTTATTTACTTTTTCAGATTATATTTACTTGTCTTAATAATTTATAATCTAGTAAAATATATAAGAAAATCTTTTTTTTTTTTTTTTTTTTTTTTTTATAATTCTTCTCTCTCTCCTTCTTTTCTAATATTATTTAGTTTATTATCTATCTATTTACTTACTTATTATCTATTTATTTATCTTTTTTTATATCTTCTTTCTATATTAATAATTCATTACCATGCTTTCCGGCTATCATAATAACTAGTCTATTATTTAATATATTATTTAATTAATTATTTTCTTTTTATCTCTAACTCCCAGCTTAGCTTTTTTTATAACTTATATTTTAGTTCCTGCCCGGATTTCTACTATTATCTTATTTAATAATATTTATGAGATTTTGACATGCTCTGGTCTTTCTGTTAATTTAACTGGAAATAATCTGTATCTTATATTATTTATGGATTTATATGAGTTCTGTGATCTTATCTAGCTGGAGTATAATACAGCTAGGACTTATATTATATTTATTTTTATTAATTAAATATATATTAATTATATTCAAGATCTGCTTAATTAAATTAAATTAGAATTAATAAATAATACTGAGTTCTTTATTTATCAAGATTTATCTAAGCCCAGTAATTCTGCTGGTAATTTCTAGATTATTTCTAATACTGAGAACACTGCTACAGACTTTTATATAATTTTATAAATAATAAATATCCTGGTCTTCATGTATATTAAATTATGTTAACTTCTAGTTAAATAAATATATATATCACTCAATATAATTCTTTGAAATAATAATAACTAGTTATATAGTTTTTTTTTATTTTTTACTATTTACCGTGGTTCTCTTGCTGCAGGAGAAGAAAATAATACTAAAATAATTTATTATATTTTTTTATTTTATATTTAATTTAATATAGATCTTTTTTAATTTTAATAAAAATATATTAATTCTGATTATGATTTTTTCTAGGAATTCTTCCAGATATGAGTAGCTATAGTTTCCTGAAAAACTTTAATTAATTTCCAGATATTTTATATATAATTTATTTATTTAATTAAATAACAGAGTTTTTATTCTTATTCTTTTAATTATTAAGTTTTTTTTAAAATAACTTCTACTAAGTACTTCTTCTCTTTATTAATATAGATAATTAGAGATTACTAATCATCTCTCTGTTAGAATAAAAATTAGTCTATAGCTGCCGGTCGCAGCAGGTTTATATAAAAGATATTATAAATTTTAGTAGATATATCAAGATAAACAGAATAAATTTCTAATATTTTAGTAATCTTATATTTAATATTCTTTTAATCTAGTTTCTTGCTCAGTTAGTCAGTGTTAATATTCTTTAAATTTAGCCAGACCATGTTTCTAATCTAGTATATTAAAATAGATATTTATAATTTATTTATTTATCTCTTTATTTTTTATTAAATATATACTAGTAATATTCTAGCCCAGTCACTTATTTTCTTAATAATACAGGTAATATATTTCCTGACTTATATAGGACTCCGGAAAGTTTTATTATATAAAATAAATTAGTCTTTAATAAAATTAAAAGATAATAGCTCATACCTGTAGCTCAGGAAAAACAGGAATATGCCAGTTAATATTAAAATATAAATATTAATAATTAATTTAATAAATAGAAGAAACTAGCTTTAATTATCTTAATTTTATTAAATATAGATCTGCAGGTAGATTTTTATAATATTATTAATTTATTTAATAATACTATCTGTCTGGGGGTGATATACTGTAGATAATTATTATTTAATATTTATTAATATATATAATCTTTTCCATGTTTTGCTCATGAACTGTGTTCTACAGTTGGAGGTAATAATCTTTAGTATACTATATTATTATATATAACTGTTTAGAATTATTTATACTAGATTTATAATTATTATCTTTTTTATAGCTGCTAGTACTATATTTTTTGTAAACTAATTAATAATAACTAGAATATTAATATAATCTTTATTTTTTGGAAATCTAGTAATAAAGTCTATACTGATATCCTGCTATGGGTATTCAGGGATTAAAAATAATTTTAATAATCTAGAT